TGCCCGTCCCACAAAATACAGGAAATTGAAATACCAATCCAACAAACGGACCCTAAAGGCAGACGCCCATAGACAGTACTCAAAGTATAACCGTCGGTATAACCAGTGAATATACTGGATCGGCGACTTATTACTTTGCTTGTATAGACAACGCTGGGCACAGCGAGCCATGATGCGCGGTCGGTCCACCAGATCGCCGTGCATATCGCCAATGGCTCGTATGGTATTCAGATTGCGACTGGAAACCATAAACATTAATTGTTATTATTATAGTTTCTCCTAGTTTTGTTAAGAACAATGCACTCACACCACAAAGAGCAAGCAGCGCGGCATTTCCTTCAGGGTGCTCATTATGATATCAAAGTTTTCCTTGGCTAACTTCTGCACATAGTCGATATCCTCCTGTGTGAGTTTGCTGCGTATGCGACCACCCTCCATTTTGATGGGCTGTTGAAAGAGCACCGCTGCAAACTTCATATGATCGACAACCTGCATTTTATTCGCAGCTGCCTTCATACGTGGCTCATTGCGCAGCACGGTGGCCTCCCAGAATTCACAAAGAGGAATCCGTACATCAGGAGAAAGTTCCTCGTAGAGTCCATGATCCAGTAATATGATATCCGCATCGGCACCTGTCGCACTTTTACGCACAAATACTAAGAAGAAAGTGTTAGTTTTTTCTTAAAGCGGGTCAATGTTTTTATATGGTTACCCACTGTTGCCGGGATGTGGATCCGCATGCACAAATCCAGTGTGAAAGATCTGCTCTGCAAATACTTTAAATAGCTTATGGTCGATGTCAATCAGGCGCAGGCCCATCCTCTTAATGCCCTCCATGTTACTAATTTTAAGTCCGTCCATCCACTCGAGTGTAATCACACGCTGAAGGATACTAGAATTATTGGGAGCATCGTAATCGAATCAATCAACTACTCACTGTCTTGGTGTGGCCCCAAAAGACCTTGGGCACACGCACGTAGCTCAACTTTTGTAGATCCTTGGCGCAGCGCTCCGCGTTTTTCCCTTCCTGTACAAAATTGAGCTCATGCACAAGATTCTTTCGGAGATCATTTAAGATCCAACCGAAATTGTAGTCCTTGAAGATAAACTCGATTATGTCTTGCAGAAAGATAATTGTTGCCAAGTCGCTGATGAAACGCTTCTGCAAATCGCTATACTGCACTTTGACGGCCACCTGCTCGCCGCTCTGTAATCTCGCCTTGAAGACCTGCGACAGACTCGCGGCCGCAACTGGTTTGTAATCAAATTCTTTAAATATATCCTCGGGTAGCTGACCAAAATCAGTGCGAAACACTTTCTGTATATCGGACTTTGAGGTTGGCAGACACTCGTCCTGCAGCTTTGATAGTATACTTGTGTATTCAATTGGCAAAATGTGATTAATGGCTGCAAATCCTTGCCCCACTTTAATGTAGAGGCCGCCATTAAGCAGACACGTCTCTAATAGGCGGTTCGCACTACTTTCATGCACTACTTTTTTCTTGATTTCATACTCCGGATCATTCTTGTTCAGCCGCAGATAATCGACCGCTATCAATGATGCAGTTTTCAGAGAGCGCGCGAATCGCACAGATGCCCCACAGTAGGTGAACTCGTTGACAATGCCATCGTAGACAATGACGCCAGCTCCTGCCAGTAAGACCCCCAATCGCACATAGGGCACACTCTGCCATCGGCGCTGGGGTTTGTTCAGCTTCTGAGCGGTGGAGCGCCTGCTATGAAATTCTTTACTTCTGGATAGTTGCCTGTTGGCAAAACCAAATAGCCCCCGTAAGTGCTGTATATGCATTAAAATTTAAATCATGTTATTGCACAAATATTTGAAGCGCACTTACAGGTGTTCGTTGCATTTTGTCCAAAATTTTCTTTCAAAACATTGGCGAACAGGTGTTTGTTACAGCTGTTTCAGCAGCAGAAATGTCCAACAAACGCATATCCGTGATAGAGTTGGAAACTATCTATATAATATAAAAATAATTGTGCCCGGTATAAAATAATAATAAAATAGTAGTTTGACCTACGTTCAAGATATATTAATTAAACGTGAATTACAAATGCAGTTACTTTGAGTTCGCTGTCACAATATCGCTTATCGATTTTTAATGGTCCGGTAACCTTACAGTTCGAGTATTATGTCTATCGATATTTTGGCGAACCATCGAGATGAATTAAAATATGCAAAAGCTGTATGCCTACATGCTGTGTTGACAATCTAATTATGTTTTAATGTTTGCACTACCAGAGAGTCCGACTCTTTAACTTTCTCATGTATTCCCACTTTTCCCTGTCTTGTACCTTGTCCCTTTCCTAGATAAAATGAATAAATTCGCGACCCAATTAGAGATGGACAGGTGCCACATCGACAGGTCCCGCGCAGCTTATCGAAATTAAATAAACAAATCTATTAATATTTTTTTATTGTCTATTGCAATTTGCGCAGCGCACTCATGAATTCTGTCTAAGCCAGTTGAGTGAGTAAAAGAGATTGCCTCTCCTTAGCCGAATTGTCGAGCATCATACTTGAAAATTTTAGTGGAAGCAAATTGTCCATATTTGTTAGTAGCCTGATGCTGTGTCAAGTGGCTTGCTTCCTACTGGCTGTTTGTATGCACCTGTATCCGCCGGTCATTCTTCGTGGTGGGTATCAAATGTCGCGATGTGCCCGCCCGTCAAAATATACTCTGTCAAAATATACTCTGGAAATGAAGCTTGTAAATCTCTGCAGGATATGGATATCTAGCAAGTGGAACTGTGGGCAACCAAGGCTCTTCGTGGTACTAATATTTGCGAAGAATTAGACCTGTATGGACTCATTGTGACGACTAATTAATGGAGAAATTATTGCTATTCATTCCATGCCTAATTATAGGATTGCTGAACAGAAGCAATACGTGATATACTATACATTCGGAAGTTATTTTTCTTACAGACATTAAATTCATTATGCTGCCGACCTCTGCTGTGCGCTGATTTAACCCTCGCCAGCTTTATTATGGGCCAAATGGCCGAGGGGCATTGTAAATGGAATGAGGATAATGAAATTTAGCTGACCTCGGTCTTTCTCACTGGAGTCTATGGCATGTGGAACATCTACATATTTGCCCTGATCATCTTGTACGCGCCCAGTGAATTTAAATATTTTTGTTGCCTTGCCGACCGATAATCTTGTAGCTTAAACATTGCACGTATTTTCATCGATATTCGGAAAGTATCGAGACTAGTTTCGATTAGCCGGAGCTGTCAGCTATCATGTAAACATAATTTATTCAATGTTTACATAAAATAAAATTGAACCAAACTGTCGGCAATAAGACAGAATAAAGCGATTGATACTTTGTTAAGCATATGGTAGATTTGGTAAAACTATTAACAGCTGTTTGCATATCCGTCTTTGCACTAGGTGACAACCCTAGCATTCTGTATACGAACGCCGCTTTGTTTGTTTCGCCGACAGCCGACATATTCAATTCTTTTTATAGCGTGAATCTAAAACAAATACAAATTGTTTACCTAAGCGACAGCTACAAAGGAATAGCCTGCCTCGTTGAGAAATAGTGATTGCTACTTTAGCCGAAATGTCGGGTACTATTCTCGAAAATTTAAGCGGACGCAAATTGTCCATATTGGTCAGTAGCCTGATGCTGTGTCAAGTGGCCTGCTTCCTTATGGGTGGCTTGTATGCGCCTGTACCCGCCGGTCATCAGACCGTGGTGGGCATAAAATGTCGCGATGTGCCCGGCCGTCAAAATGACACCAGTTTTTTTCTGTACTCCCGCGGAAATGGAGCTTGTAAATCTCTGCAGGATATGGATATCGAGCAGGATCCTCTAAAGATGGCCAATCAATTGGTGTACGTTTTTCAAATGCCGCTGCCACGGGACAACCGCACCCTGGACTACTCGCGCTGGCAGCAGAATCTCATTGGAGTGCTGCAGGTAGACATTGCGTATGACTCATCCTCGGAACTGAGAGAGCCACCCAAGGAGCTGCAGCTTACAATCGACACACGCCTCGCTTATCGTAACAAAAAGGATGCTGATACAGACTGGAAGCTGTATGCGCACAGCGTGGAACAGCGTTATTTGGACTGTCACGCCGCGCACGTTGGTCTTTTGGAGACGCTATACACGTGTGATATAATACCGTTGTTCGAACTGGGAGCACTGCATCATAACTTCTATCTGCTTAACTTGCGATTTCCCATAGACACACCAAAGCGGATGAATCTGCAGTTTGGTCACATGCATGACCTCACACTAACGGCCATACATCAGAACGGAGGCTTCACCCAGGTTTGGCTTCTGCTCAAGACCCTGCTATTTCCCTTTGTGGTCGGCATTATGATCTGGTTTTGGAGGCGAGTCCACATACTTCAACGTTCTCCGGCACTGCTGGAGTACATGCTGCTGTATTTGGGCGGTGCCCTGAGCTTTTTGAATCTGCCACTAGAGTACCTTACCCTGGGCATAGAAATGCCGTACATGCTGCTGTTGAGCGATGTGCGACAGGGAATCTTTTATGCGATGCTGCTATCCTTTTGGCTGGTCTTTGCGGGGGAGCACATGCTGATCCAGGATACGCCCAACAAGTCAACCATACGCTCGCGCTATTGGAAGCATCTCTCCGCAGTCGTTGTAGGCTGCATTTCGCTCTTTGTATTTGATATTTGCGAGCGCGGTGTTCAGCTGCGCAATCCCTTCTATTCCATCTGGACAACGCCGCTCGGCGCCAAAGTGGCTATGAGTTTCATCGTACTTGCTGGCGTTTCGGCTGCCATTTACTTTCTCTTCCTGTGCTTCATGGTCTGGAAGGTGTTTAAGGACATTGGCGACAAGCGCACCTCATTGCCATCCATGTCACAAGCGCGACGTCTCCACTACGAGGGTAAGTCAAGAGTGGTAGCTAAATTAGATTACAATTATTTATTAAACAGTAGGCGTTATTTTTCCAACGTAATGAGAAAGATTAGTAAGTCGGATCTTGCCATTATATTTCTGTGTATTCTGTGAATAAGTACAAAAATATTTCTAAAAATGGGCGATCCGGAAGCATCAATGGATCAACCAGCATACGCGTGCTTCTTCTGTGTAATGGGCACCACCTCGGCCATAGTCTTTACGGCGCTGGGTGCAGCCTATGGAACAGCCAAGTCTGGCTTGGGAATCGCATCGATGTCTGTGAAGCATCCGGAACTCATTATGAAGGCCATCATACCAGTTGTTATGGCAGGCATTATTGCCATCTACGGCCTGGTGGTCTCTGTTCTGCTAGCCGGTTCTCTGTCTAAACTGTACAACAGCTACAGGGCCTTCCTCAATCTGGGCGCTGGCATAGCCGTTGGTCTTTCTGGGATGGCTTCCGGCTTTGCAATTGGAATTGTGGGCGACGCCGGTGTGCGGGCTGCTGCGCTGCAACCAAAGCTATTTGTGGGAATTGTCTTGATATTGATCTTTGCCGAAGTACTCGGCCTTTACGGCCTCATTGTGGCCATCTATCTGTTTACTAAGTAAAGAAACTTTTGAATGTTAATTACAAGTTTTATTATAAGTTTGTTGAACATGAGCAATACGTGATATACTCTACATTTGGAAGTTATTTTGTTTTTAGGCCTTATATACCGCTTCAAATTCCTTATGCTGGCTACTCTTCTGTGCGCTGGTTTAACCGTTGCCGGCTTTATTATGGGCCAAATGGCCGAGGGGCATTGGAAATGGAATGAGGATATTGAAATTCAGCTGACCTCGGCCTTTCTCACTGGCGTCTATGGCATGTGGAACATCTACATATTTGCCCTGATCATCTTGTACGCGCCCAGTGAATTTAAATATTTTTGTTGCCTTGCCGACCGATAATCTTGTAGCTTAAACATTGCACGTATTTTCATCGATATTCGGAAAGTATCGAGACTAGTTTCGATTAGCCGGAGCTGTCAGCTATCATGTAAACATAATTTATTCAATGTTTACATAAAATAAAATTGAACCAAACTGTCGGCAATAAGACAGAATAAAGCAATTGATACTTTGTTTGGCATATGGTAAATTTGGTAAAACTATTAACAGCTGTTTGCATATCCGACTTTGCACTAGGTGACAACCCTAGCATTCTGTATACGAACGCCGCTTTGTTTGTTTCGCCGACAGCCGACATATTCAATTCTTTTTATAGCGTGAATCTAAAACAAATACAAATTGTTTACCTAAGCGACAGCTACAAAGGAATAGCCTGCCTCGTTGAGAAATAGTGATTGCTACTTTAGCCGAAATGTCGGGTACTATTCTCGAAAATTTAAGCGGACGCAAATTGTCCATATTGGTCAGTAGCCTGATGCTGTGTCAAGTGGCCTGCTTCCTTATGGGTGGCTTGTATGCGCCTGTACCCGCCGGTCATCAGACCGTGGTGGGCATAAAATGTCGCGATGTGCCCGGCCGTCAAAATGACACCAGTTTTTTTCTGTACTCCCGCGGAAATGGAGCTTGTAAATCTCTGCAGGATATGGATATCGAGCAGGATCCTCTAAAGATGGCCAATCAATTGGTGTACGTTTTTCAAATGCCGCTGCCACGGGACAACCGCACCCTGGACTACTCGCGCTGGCAGCAGAATCTCATTGGAGTGCTGCAGGTAGACATTGCGTATGACTCATCCTCGGAACTGAGAGAGCCACCCAAGGAGCTGCAGCTTACAATCGACACACGCCTCGCTTATCGTAACAAAAAGGATGCTGATACAGACTGGAAGCTGTATGCGCACAGCGTGGAACAGCGTTATTTGGACTGTCACGCCGCGCACGTTGGTCTCTTGGAGACGCTATACACGTGTGATATAATACCGTTGTTCGAACTGGGAGCACTGCATCATAACTTCTATCTGCTTAACTTGCGATTTCCCATAGACACACCAAAGCGGATGAATCTGCAGTTTGGTCACATGCATGACCTCACACTAACGGCCATACATCAGAACGGAGGCTTCACCCAGGTTTGGCTTCTGCTCAAGACCCTGCTATTTCCCTTTGTGGTCGGCATTATGATCTGGTTTTGGAGGCGAGTCCACATACTTCAACGTTCTCCGGCACTGCTGGAGTACATGCTGCTGTATTTGGGCGGTGCCCTGAGCTTTTTGAATCTGCCACTAGAGTACCTTACCCTGGACATAGAAATGCCGTACATGCTGCTGTTGAGCGATGTGCGACAGGGAATCTTTTATGCGATGCTGCTATCCTTTTGGCTGGTCTTTGCGGGGGAGCACATGCTGATCCAGGATACGCCCAACAAGTCAACCATACGCTCGCGCTATTGGAAGCATCTCTCCGCAGTCGTTGTAGGCTGCATTTCGCTCTTCGTATTTGATATTTGCGAGCGCGGTGTGCAGCTGCGCAATCCCTTCTATTCCATCTGGACAACGCCGCTCGGCGCCAAAGTGGCTATGAGTTTCATCGTACTTGCTGGCGTTTCGGCTGCCATTTACTTTCTCTTCCTGTGCTTCATGGTCTGGAAGGTGTTTAAGGACATTGGCGACAAGCGCACCTCATTGCCATCCATGTCACAAGCGCGACGTCTCCACTACGAGGGTAAGTCAAGAGTGGTAGCTAAATTATATTACAATTATTTATTAAACAGTAGGCGTTATTTTTCCAACGTAATGAGAAAGATTAGTTAGTCGGATCTTGCCATTATATTTCTGTGTATTCTGTGAATAAGTTCAAAAATATTTATAAAAATGGGCGATCCGGAAGCATCAATGGATCAACCAGCATACGCGTGCTTCTTCTGTGTAATGGGCACCACCTCGGCCATAGTCTTTACGGCGCTGGGTGCAGCCTATGGAACAGCCAAGTCTGGCTTGGGAATCGCATCGATGTCTGTGAAGCATCCGGAACTCATTATGAAGGCCATCATACCAGTTGTTATGGCAGGCATTATTGCCATCTACGGCCTGGTGGTCTCTGTTCTGCTAGCCGGTTCTCTATCTAAACTGTACAACAGCTACAGGGCCTTCCTCAATCTGGGCGCTGGCATAGCCGTTGGCCTTTCTGGGATGGCTTCCGGCTTTGCAATTGGAATTGTGGGCGACGCCGGTGTGCGGGCTGCTGCGCTGCAACCAAAGCTATTCGTGGGAATCGTCTTGATATTAATCTTTGCCGAAGTACTCGGCCTTTACGGCCTCATTGTGGCCATTTATCTGTTTACAAAGTAAAGTAACCTTTTGAATGTTAATTACAAGTTTTATTATAAGTTTGTTGAACATGAGCAATACGTGATATACTCTACATTTGGAAGTTATTTTGTTTTTAGGCCTCATATACCGCTTCAAATTCCTTATGCTGGCTACTCTGCTGTGCGCTGGTTTAACCGTTGCCGGCTTTATTATGGGCCAAATGGCCGAGGGGCATTGGAAATGGAATGAGGATATTGAAATTCAGCTGACCTCGGCCTTTCTCACTGGCGTCTATGGCATGTGGAACATCTACATATTTGCCCTGATCATCTTGTACGCGCCCAGTCACAAGCAGTGGCCAACAATGCGCCACAGCGACGAGACGACACAGTCCAATGAGAATATTGTTGCTTCCGCCGCCAGCGAAGAAATCGAATTCAGCAATCTGCCTTCCGATTCGAATCCCAGTGAAATATCATCGCTCACCTCCTTTACGCGCAAGGTGGCCTTTGATTAGGCGGCCAATTTTATAATAATAATGTCGTGTGCCAAACTATTTCTAAGATTAGCTTTTGGCGGAGAGGCAACGCTCTTCACTTTAGTGTTTGGGCGTGTTTTCATTAGTATTACAATTACCAGAAACATTTCTTGCCTAGATTTTGCATTTTACAAACACATACTTATATATTTATTAATATTACTCATCAGCATTCATAAATGTATTTTTTTATAGACTTTTTCTCTGCATGCTCAAAGTAGTGTCCAAGTTCAAGTTTTTAACTGATATTTGTAGTAATTGCGTGTACTTAGTTTTTATATTTGTTTTTATGCCTCGGCAGTATTATATATATGGAAAATCTTTTTAACTAGCCAGTAACACTATCATCGAACTTTTTCGGGTGCTTTTGGTTACATGCACAACATTTGAATACAGCAAGATATTCAAGATCTTGTAACTGTCAACGTAGAGCAATTTCTCACTCAAGTAGCAATTCAATTAATAAAGAAAAGCAATATTTAAACAAAAAGTTTCTGTTATGGATACGCATATTTCTTTACCAAATAATTCGCTGTGGTGTGCGGTAATTTTTCCAATAGAATTCTTTTGTTAAGTACACATAGAACGTAACCACGTTCAAGAGCAGATGTGCGCCCAGCTCCAGCCACTCGGCAAAGCCCTTGCGTGCCGGCCGCGTATGCAGTCGGAAGATTATATATGGCACCAGGAAATAGCGCAGCTCTAGCAAACGCTGAAAGCACAAAACGAGAAGGAGAGACAGCGGAAACATCAACTTGAAGCTGTCAGGCATATGCCGCAGTCCACAGCAGAGCAACGTGAGAGCGAGCAGGTACAGCGGCGCCATGGCATAGCGGAACCACCAGTAACGGCCGTATAGGCGACTCCATATGTAGAAGGTGTAGTGACGATTGTCAGCTAGCAAGTACGGATGGACCACGGTGTTAAAATGCACCACCGAGGCTATAAGCAACGTAATTAGCAACGACAGCACTATATGGCGTCGCAGCAGCGCCAACGCTGGACGCAGTTGCCGCACGGTATTGGAAATGCCAAAGCCAGCTGCAAAGGTTGCAAAGTAGAACAGCTGCGGTAAATGTAGTGAAGCCTCATGGGCGCTTTTGTCGCCCACTACAATGGAACCATTGATGCAGATGAAGCCAATGAAGGGTAATATGATGGAGGCGTAGAAACAGCATTTCGCCAAAATCCTTAAAATACAATTGCATATCAGGTGCGGGCTGTCGAGCAGCTGTAGCCAAAGCTGCAAACGAAAACAATCCATGTTTATATCTACGTTATACTTAGTTTATAGAGGTTTGTGCTCACTTCGCTGCCAAATAGTCGTATTGGTTGGCTACTTGCCGTGCTTGTCCTGGCGCATTGCTGCACAATCGTGTCCAGGATGGTGATGCCACAGCACATGCACACCCAGACAATGTTCGTCTGGCGCATAAGCACACTGGCCGCACCGAACACTGATGCCGGCAGGTGAGCCTCCTGCTGCCAGTAATTGTAAAACAACAACACCATGGTTAAGGCCAGCGTATCCGTATAGTAAAGATGACTGAAGAAATACAGAGGAGGCAGTACCGACATCGTTATTGCCTCGTGCGCGGCATAAGCATTGCCTCCAGTGCCTGCTAGGGTGCGGCGGCGTATTTTGTACAGCAACAGAATGTTGATGCCCGCGCCGATCAGGCTAAGTAGACGCAGGCCCGTAACCGTGCAATAGTTGAATGGGTGCAACACTAACGCAAGCAGATATAAACCAGGAAACGTTGTGATTTTGGAGTCCCACTGAAATTATTACAAATTGCCATTTGATTAGGTGTTGCTATGACTGCACCTGCACCTGCTACTGTTGCATACCACATCGAATTGCTTGCGACAGAAGGCCAAGCCCTGTGGTATATGAAACTCTTCATCGATTATGTACTCGGCGGTGCCGTTAACCCGAAGAAACAGCGGTAGTGAGTACAACACAAATCCAACGGGCAAGACCACTTTCCAAGAGCCCTGCATCTTTAGACTTCCATTGATCAGCAATATCGGATTGTTTTCTTTAGCTGGTTTTGTTTATTTTTGGTCAACGACACCGGCAACGACATACGAATGTTATCGACCTAAGGCCTACCAACATATCGGTATTTTAGTTCAGTGTTGCTCCAAAAGAAATCCAATTTTTTTTAAATACCAGAGCGTCGACAGGGCTGTTAAATGTTTACATCTGATTTAATATATTGACAAGAGCAATATTTTTCAATTATTTAAAAAATGAGTGCAGCTCAAAAACGCTCTTTGGTATTTTCGCGAGCAGATAAACTAGCTTTAATTAACGCGATACAAAAGAAGATGGTCATTTGGGATCCTTCACATCCAATGCATGCGAATCTCCAAACAATAAATCAAGCTTGGAGGGAAGTCGCTCACCAGCTAAAAAAAGATGGTCTGCAATATTTCCACCTTTGGAATTAACTGTTAATATAACTATTTAAATGTTTTGTTAGTTACCCTCTGCCGGGAAAGCTTTAAAGTATTGCGCGAAAATTACCGAAACTATTCGAAGCGCGTCAAATTATCTGGACCGGATGGGGACCCATTAAGTAGCGAAGAAGACATCGATGTCGACCTGGAATTTGGAGAACGCATGTCCTTTCTATCGGATGTTTGTTCAAGACGCAAGTAAGATTTTGCAAGCGAACGTTTTATTATATTTTAAACATGTTTTGTAAATATGTTCGCGCTCTTACAGGACCCACCGAACTGCTTCAAAAGGATCAAATCGTATGAGCAATAATTCCTCAAACCATAAAGCCTACGAATCACAGAGTGAAGCCTGGTCAGACAATATTGAAGATAATTATTTAACGGACAATGGACCTTCAGTTCAGCTGCCCGAAGTATCTATTGACGAGGAGGAAGAAAAGTACAGCTCCATTCTAAACGTAACACCATATAAAAAGTCAATATTCCTTCAATTTAAAATCGGTTTTTTTCAGATGTCAGTAAACAACATTTGCAAAGATGAGCATCAGTTCCAAATTAATTCAACATCGTCAATTCAGCCGGGAGCACCGCGATTTGATGAGGACGAACAAACATCGAGTAGCTACTCACACGTAAGTTCAGTTTTGTTTCCTTGTATTATCTATTAAAACTAGTCCTAAAGGCAAGGAGTCATGTAAACCCTGATCTGCTTGCGTCAATGTTTGTCAAAATGATGAAACAACAAAAGGCTCTGCTTGCGCAGCAACCGTCGACCTTGCAATATCCGGAAGTGTATGCATTCTGGGACAGTATTATAAAGGATATACCACCTGAGGCATTGTCGGAAATCAAGTTTGAAGTCACGGCATTACTGCACAATATATACAAGAAATACAAACAATAATATATGCGTACTCGTGAATGTATTGAACTATGAACCCCTGATATTTTCAAACAGACAGTCGGCTAGTTTTATCGTCGCCTCGTTGATATAATCTCGAAACTTATAAATATACTGAACGGAAGGATAATGCTCATGATATTGATACCCATTCGCGTAAACCGTAAATAAATGCTTTGAAACATGCTTTTTTAAACATGTATTAACTATGTTTACTCTGGGCTCATCAGGTGGGCACGGATCTACAACCTGTAAGGACTTGCACTTGCAGTTTGGTGTGCCCAAAGCAAATGATATGATATGATATTGCTATACCGTAAGCATGGATGTTTCAATCTAAATGGATTTTTAAAAATGTGTTTTAGTATTTTTTTCCATGATAAAAATAGCAGATTTTCACAGATCCGAAATCTGGTTACACTTATACTAAAACAGATGTTTTTATTTATTTGTTTACCCTTGATTTTGAACATTTTTAATTTCTACAATCAGTAAATATGAGCACACATATTCTCGATCTTAACGATGATTGTATTGCTTGCTTATTTAAATATCTGCCGATTGAAAATCACATGAGTTTTGCAGGAGTTTGCACACGATTCCGTCACGTTTGGCTGGACTATCGAAATTGCCTTTATAAGCAATTGGAACTTGGAGATACCAACGCTAAGGGATTCAAACAGGAATTGCTCTTGTTGCGCCAAATCAGCGGACATGTGAAGCATATAGTTATAAATTTTAATAGGAAATTCGATTGGTGCGGAATGTTGTTAACAGAAATCATAGGCATTCTGAAAAAAATGACTGCTCTGGAGCGTGCTATAATTTGGATAAAAGACGACGAGCCTTACGAGACTTATGAAAAGATTTTGCGAGCATTTGAGCATTTGCCAAACATGCAAGGAATTGCCACCTATCAAGACAGTTAGTCAAAGCATCTACATAAACACACGCACATCGATTAATTTACATATCTATCTTTTAGATTGCATTGTGGATAGCTTGTATAATTTTAACGAATGTGATGACCTACTAGCGGAATCCCGATTAAGTAGAAACCCTCTGATTGAACCCATCGATAACCACACAAAAATACGGTTACTGGTATTTAATAATGCCTCTATTCGCCCGACTCTCGAAGATCTTGTCCGGCACTCAAACCTTGTTCAGGAGCTCAGCTTATGTATGATCCAAAAGGCCGCCGAGTACACGGCTCTTGCCGAACTGCCAAATTTATGTAAGCTAGAAATCTTTGGCAATCGCACTATAGATTATGGTCCTCTGATGCCACTGGTTGCTGCCGTATCCTCCAAGCTCTCGCAGCAGCTGCACACTTTGACCATTCATGCACCCGGCCTTGGCTACCAGGAAACCTCTAAAATCGCAGAAATACGAACATTGCGGGAATTGGATTGTGATTTTACCGAGCCACAATGTCTGGAATTATTGATAACTTTAGATCAGCTAACACATCTTTCTATAAAGCTGCCCAAATCGAGTCCGATTGATAGTCTAGTTTTGAATATACTTAGAAAGTGTCATAACTTAAATGTGATAAAAATAGATTCACCAAATTTAGGAATAGATTTTCTTACTGAAGCATATCGAGTGTTGCAGCAGGTGCGAAATCCAAACGAAAAGAAGTCAATGGTCTTCATCCTTGATGATGAGTCCAAATTAAGAGATATAGTGAGTCCAATGAAATTTCTCCCCGGCCAAGTTTATTAATTCTTTTACTTACAGGAAACGAATGCCTATTTAAGGGTAGTCCGCTAAGATTATGAGGCTTACTCCCGAAGATTGTAAGTTTCAACTGTTTAATCATAGTTTTGTTAAACAAAATGGTCCAAGTTGAATGTATGGAACTGATTTTCATATTTTACTTTATTCGGCATAATATTTGAATTTACATTTTTCGATCATTAACATACATAATTTTTTTAACAATCAATACAACTTAATGACTACCAAGAATCCTGGTCAACAACTGGTCCTTCGAGTTCCAGCTTGTCGGGCATGACAGAGCAGAACCGTTAGCTCTTTTTAAAAGATAAGGGTTATATTTGGGTTAATTTTGTGGTAAGGCTTAGGGCTGTGTTTGTGTAGCTGAAGTTTTCAGTAGGCCTTGTCGCACGGTCATAACAAAAACTCCACCTTGCGCAGTCGTTGCTACTTGTTGACGCTCCGGTAGATCATCGGAGCCGAGCGATCGTTGGTCTTTGTGTGCCGCAACTTGATTGTGGCAAATTGAGAGGCGCTGCAAGGAGTGACGCACATGGCGAGTAGAAGTGGGCAGCACAGAGCTATGTGCTACGGGTCACTACTGAAAAGAGCACTTACATACGCATTTTTATAGCAACTTTATACAATTTACAGGACAAGGGTATGACAGCTTTTTACATACGCATTCGATTATACAGTGGAACTTGTGTGGACTATAGAATACTTCTACGGGGTGGTTGTAATTAGTGTCTAGCTTTCAGTAGCCTATGGAATAGTTGCGATAAATACCGCGCCTGCTGCAAATATAAAATATATTCGTAATATTTCCACTTATTCGGGGGAGGTGTATGTGTGAGAATGTAACATGATGCAAGAGCTTATGTCTAAAGCAAAAAATATAGATATATATATGTATGTATATTTATGTATATATGGTATATGTGTTTGTGTTCATCTTAAAACTGTGCGTTATGCAAGGCACCAAAAATGGAAGTTCTCACATTGTGAGGTTTCATGTAGCAAGCAGTCAGCGTTTGATATGTGAGCGTATTTCAATTCCATACAAAATGAAATACAGAGAAATTCCTGTGTGCATTATTCCATTATCTCAAGCTAATTATCCGATATTAATAAGATAAACTATGAAAAATGATGCTTTCGATTGAAGAAAATGCTCATAAAATCATGAAAAAATCGAATTAATTTAGCGGCAAAGAAGTTTCTGTTATCAATATATTTTCTATTGTAAAAATATTGTTGCTCAAAAACTATTTTAGCTCTCTTCTAATGTAAACGAAAATTTTTGAAAAATTTTAAGCAGCATAAAAAATAAGTTTGATCTTGAGAAATTGCGTAAAAACATTGAATTAGTTGGAAGAATGCGTTAAATAAAATCTTTTCTATGATCAAACAAATTTTTTACGAAATAATAATTTTCAGAGAGAGTAGAAGTTGTCTGTGAAAATATAAATTTTTGTTCTATGGCTGCCCCTGCAAGCTACACAATCATCTCATGCTCTCTCTTTCTCTTCAATCGCCGGCACGCTCGGACCATTTTCTTCTCTGGTAAGAAAACGGCGAAACTACAACTGCCCCCCACTTTTCCGACCCTCTGCCGCTGGCTGGCTTCTGATCACTTCAGCTTGGCGCTGGCGGTTTTCTGGCCAGTGATGCCATGCTGTTCCTGATCCCAGAAGTCGTACCACGGACCGTAGCTCTTGTTGCCCACATGCGCCTTTAAGTTACGTTCCAGGGTCGCGCTGCTGCTGTTGTGGTTGTTGTTGTTGTTGTTGCTGCTGCTGGAAGATGACTTGAGGAGGCGCGTTCGTGGCAGTATGGTGGCAGTTGGTGCACCGGCCGAGTTGGCTGTAGAATTGCGGGTCAGCGTGCTCTCCTGCTCCTTGGTGTTGGACTTCTTTAGCGTATTGGTCGCCATTGTGGATGTGGACGAGCGGAATGTGTGAAACTCCATCTGCTGCTGCTGCTGATGGTGCTGCTGCTGGTGCTGCTGATGGTGCTGGCGTCTCAGTTTGTCGTCCTTGCGCACCAGATGATCATTGATCACGATGCAGTCATAGGGATCGGAGCTAGTTGACTTGAGCTCGGCCTCGGACTCATCCTCGCTGGTGTAGTATTGCTTGAGTATGTCCTTGCGCTTGAGCGTCTTCATGACCAGGCCATGATTGCCACCTCCGGCGCCATTGCCAGAATTGCCACCTCCATCATGCTGCATGTCATCAAAGAAGTTGTTGACATCGCTCATTTTGAGCGTTCCATGCTCATCGCTCTCCCCCTCATCCGTGGAGTTTGGGAACTGCTGCTGCTGCTGCAGTTGCTGCTGTGCCGGCTTGGAGCGGCTGAGCGTCTGTGTCTTGTGCTGCGGCGTCGAAGAGGACATTGAGGCGGAGCCCGAACCTTGCTTGTCCAGCTTACGATGTCCATGGACATAGTCCGACTGCTGATGCTGCGTCTGGCCGCGACGCATGGTGCTCAGTCGTTCGCTCTCTGAGGGCTCTTCAATATCAATCTCAATGGTCTTCATGATCTTCATGCGCGACTTGGGCGTATACCCGCTGCTCCTCTGCTGCTGCTGCTGCTGCGACGACGGCTGCTGCTGCTGTTGCTGCTGTTGCGGCTGCTTCTTCTGTGGCGGCATGGCCGGACTTACGCCATAGATGTTGTCATCGTCGTCGCCATAGAGTTCGGTGCTAGTTATGCTGTCCTTGCGTCCACGCTTCTCCTGCGAGGAGCTGGAGTTGTGAGACTTGGTCAGTGTGCCATTTCCGTTGCTGTGACTATTGCGCTCCCGATCCTCGTCGGAGCGTGGCTCGTCGCGCATCTCCTCCATATTGGGCGCTGCGACCAGATCGCGATGCTGCCAGAGCGACATGCCGGCCAGGATGTCCTCGCCGCTGCGGCCGCCGCCAAACTTCCAGAAGGATTTGGTGCGCTTCAGGCCCGCACTGGAGGCCTGCAGAATCTCATCGTCCGAGGCAATTAAATCATAGCGCATCTTGCCCCCAACACCACCGCTCTGCCGGCTCAGCCGGTTCAGGCTCTTGTCATCGATCTGGCTGTCCACGCTGTTCCGGAAATTGCGACTCAGCGTCCAGGAGGCCACATCCCGCGGCACCGTATGTGTATTGGTGTCCGCGCGTCGTCTTCAGTGTGTTGTTGTTGTGCGCGTGTGTGTGTGTGTGTGGATTGTGTACATGTGTGTGTGTGTGTGCGGACGTGGTTAACACAAAGGATGCGACAATGATGAAGGGCAACAAAGAACATAATGATGATACATGGAATCAAAAGAACAATAAAACAGCAAACGAAAATAAATTAAATACTTTAATCATAGCAATAAATATATTCAAGCATATTATGGAGCTACGATGGCGCGGATTAGTGGAGCAGGTGATGCAACAGATATGCTTGTTGTTGTCGTGGCCGAAGGGGCACAGATAGTTATTGAATGCATAGATCTGATGGCTCTCTAGCCAGGAATAATTCGATTCATTTGACAAGTTTTATATATATAGGAAATATGTCCATTCTTTCAATATAACTCTATGATAAAGTCCGATTTGGATAAGATTTGGCTCATATGTGAGCAGCATAGTGAAGTCAAAATAAATGTCTACAAAACATTTTTCGATTGTTCCCATGACAGCTATAAGATATAGCGATCCGATCCGGACTAGTTTGCATATAAACAGACGGACGACCTGACCTGACTCTGCTGTTGATATGAATACAAAGAATAACAAATCGAATCCCCTGCAGCGCAACAACAACATCAAGATAGAGATTTCTTTAATCTGCATTTATGTAGAACCTACCGTATGGGCACACGTTGTGTGGCTGGCTCCTCGTCGGAGTAATCCACCTCGGGCTGAGGCGGTGGCTCATTGGCGAAGCCGCTGTCGTTGCTGCTGTGCAGCGAGGTCTTTGCCGCCGCCGCGGACTTTGTGGACGGTTGACTCATGGAGCTCTGCGCGAGAGATCAATCATTAAAGAACAGTTAAGTGGAATTAATTGGCACTAGGGATTGCCCACCTGTGCTCCATTTAGCAGCTTCTGCTTGCGCCTTTCCACGGCAGCTGGCACCCCATTGGCGGCACAGAAGCTCTGCGAGCTGTTCAGCATTCGGGCGCTCTGGCTCTGGCCAGCATTGGGCACGGGAGCGGGCAGCGTGGGTGGCGGACCGGGACGCGGATTGGCCCCGGAGCCGGAGCGGTACTTCTTCTGCTGCTTGATGGTGTCGCCGAACATGCGCGTCGGCGAGGACTCCTCGGCGCTATGATTGCGTCGTCGCCGATAGGTGGCATCGCTATCCAGGAGCTCCAGTTGCGCCTCGTATTGCTGCTGCTGTTGCTGCTGTTGCTCATGATAGCTGCGCAGTCCGCTGGCGCCGTTGCGCTCGTAGCTCATGTGCATGTTCTCGTAGCGTCGAGCGGCAGAAGGCGCCAGCTCCAGGCTCTCCGCGTTGGTGTACGCGACGGGGAACCAGCCGAAGTGCTGCGTGCGCAGATTCTCACCGAACTGCCAGCCCTTGGCCTTGGCGCCCACAAGCGCAATGCGGTCGCCCTCCTCAAAGGACAGCTGATTCTCGCCGGATGGCATATACGCATAGAGCGCCTTGACCAGCGGACGCTGATCCCCGCGCTCGACCTCGCCATGCACCAGCTGCTCCTCAATGATTTTGTGTTTGGGTCCTGCGCCGACCAGCGCCAGATTGAAATCGGATTTGGCACGTGGCAGCGAGTTCTGTGCATAGTGCGCCGATCCGGAGACACCGGAGAGACCTTCACGCTCGTGCAGAGTCCGCATGTCGCCGTACGGCGCATCGATGCTGCGCGACTTCTTTAGTTGAGCGCCCAGGCCTAGGCCCAGGCCTTGGCCCTGGATCTGATCGTCGTCAGCGTCTTTGATGCGCTCCTGTACAGACAGACGGGAAGTGTTTAGCCAGAGCTAACAGAGAGAGAGAGGAGTTGTTTGGGGCTGGGTGCATGACTCACCAGGCGTCTTGTGTTGCTGTTGCTGCTGCTGTAGCCGCTTTCGTATGCGGCCGGCGGAATTATCTCACGAGAAGCGGCAATCTCTTGCCAATTTTCGAAATTATTATCAATTACCGTTTTGCCGGTGGCATGGTAGGCCATCCAGTGCTTGGCGATCGAGCACTGGCGCTCCAAGACGAAACCATAGCGACGACGCTCCTGTGTCATGGCCTGTGCGAATGGGGATAGGCAACGTTCTGATTCTCAGAAGCCACAAACAAATGACTTAGGCAACAAACTTACATTCTTATAGCTCTGATCACAGAATATGTCGAGTTTTTTCTTTTGATCCTCCAACAGTTGCAGGCTCTGAAATGAGTGTGTTCTTTAAGCAATTGATTCGTGACTCTCATTTTGGGCATAGTTTTATTTACTCTCAGCTCCTTTTCGGTATTCTCGGGCGTGGCCTTTTTCTTGCGCTGCTTTTTCATTGTGGAAACGGCCTTCTGGTAGCTCTCCATGCGCACTTTGTGCTGCTGCATAAACTTCTTTTGCTCATGCTGCACGACTTTTGTGTCCTTCTCCAAATTTGTCTCCAATGGCACCAATAGATCAACGTAGAAGGCTTTCAGCTGGAGTGCAGTGGAAATGTAATACGTAGATGAGTATAATACAGATTATATGAAGCTTAGCTTGAATACTTGAGAATTACATAGGAAGGCTGTATACAAATGTGTAAGAGGGAATAGAGCAAACTGTTGCCCTTCTCAGCGATTCTCATACATTCAAGCTATGCTTACAGATTTACAGGTATTTTCTACTCACAATATTCATCTGTTGCTCCTGTATCTCCTTGTTAACATTAACAACGCTCATCAAAGCCGAACCTGCAATGAAATCAAGAGTATATATAGAGTATATATGTATATTGATCAAATAGGTCTCTCCCCTGCATTCTTTCGCTCTACGGTCTTACCAATATCGCCTGTTCCGCTTTGTTGCGCGTTCATTGCAATCTTGGCCAATGCTTCATTGAATAGACGCGAGGCAGTTGCGGCACCTGTTGCATGTGAAATGGCACGAAATGCATTGCAAATTAGTTAACTGTATGCCCAGTTAAGCATAGTATACCATATGATGATAATATAATATAATGCCGCCATGCTCTTACCATGCAACGCCTTCAGGTAACTTTTGCCCGCCGCAATTAGCTGCCTGGCACCCGGATTAAATCTATCGAGTATATTCTGCAATTGAATAGATTAATAATCATTTTTATGTACTCGCATATGATAATTAGTTATAATTTATGAATTGCCATCGCATTCCCAGCGACAGATCATTTAGCTCAGCTATTTTTATGGTTTTTATGCTCTGTACACCATTTAAATAGGGTATATACGTTATATTTGTTTAGTTCAAATACGTTTCTATATTTTTGTTTATTTATGCTCATGATTTTTCGGCTGATAAAAACAAGTTTATCCTGAAGGCAGCTCTTCAAAATTCATATATAATGAGTTTGTGCTCCAAACAAATAAGATATCTATATTTTTGATCAGCCTCAACAGTCTATCTCGCCATGTCCACCTGATTCTATCTTTCCCGTCTATCTTCCTGGCTGCCCGTAGAACACACGAAGAAAGACAATATTTTACTTGGGTAAATGTTGAGATATCGCATAGTTATTATATTATATGCACAAGTATGAATATTACGACAACTCACAGCTGGGTACAGGGTATACGCGGGCACTCTCGTTTTCGTTTGTAGCTCTTAATTGAATGTCTCGTATCACACGCTGGGTTTGAGTCGTAATGCTTTTTCACGACTTGCTTCGGGTAGTAAAAGTCCGTTGTATAATCAATCCGCCGAACAGCAAAACATTGTTGTGGTCAACCAAAGACATCCACATCATTAGTTCCGCGTATGCCGCCAGCGGAGACTGCAGAGAGTCGACTCGCAGCTCGTAATGCCAACTGCACCTGCACATTTGCCCAGGCCACAAATGGTGAATGGCATCATACGGCTGGGCATATGCCACAGCAACTTAACGACACAAATCTAGCAATCATAACACATATTCACTGTGCGAGCATTAGGAAAGTTTTCCACGTTCAACTAAACGATAATCCATGTGAGCAGGCAGATTAAAGTCAGATTAAACACAAAAGAAACTGAATCTTATGAAAATTACCATTTAATTATTATAGTTTTTAAATTCGATTAAGCGCGCCATGTAAGCAGTTATCGATAACCGTATTTATCGATAACTATCTATATAGTAAATGCAGAGAAGAAATGCAGAGCCCATTTACACTTGCAAGTAAATATCAATTTGTGAGACTTAAAGAAACCCTCTGACTAAAACAAAATAATTTAATAAAATATTAGAAAACATTATGCTGATTTGTTTTGCATAGCCAGACAATTAAATGTGCTTTTATAAGATCCAAGGATTTTAGAACTTGACAAAGTTCAAACAAAATAATTTAATAAAATATAAAAAAAACATTATGCTGATTTGTTTTGCATAGCCAGACAATTAAATTGTAATGTGCTATTATAAGATCCAAGGATTTTAAGACTTGACAATTATTTTATTCTATTATATAGTTTATTTATGATTATGTGCGAATTCCGAGAATAGCACAAAATGACAGCATCAAACAAAATAATCAGATAACAAGAATAATAAATTCCTTAACTGGAAATCAATTAATCATATGATGAATCATGTAATCAATCATAAACAAATTCAGCTAAGGCATTAGAAAAGTTAAATAACTGCAAATACAATAAATAAGCACTCGAATAATAATGAATTATGTAAGTACTCGAGTGCATTTGAATACAATCGAAGGCGTATTCGCCGTTTCTCGTAGGTGACGGTAAATTGTTTATGTCATGTACTAGAAGCTATTAGCGAAATGACATCAGCTTGGGCCTAGCATAAACGACAGCTCCATTTAATAGTAGACGAAGTGATCCTGGGCTGGGCGCCATAAACGACAATGCCCAACCACTGACTGGGCCGTAAATGACTCACAAAGCCTTCAATTGTCGAGCCAGAATCGCCAGACAATGGCAGTTGTCGAGCTTGAACCTGCTCGGGCATAATTAATTACTAGCTGTTTGATTATTGAAACAAAATATTTTGCTAAGAACTCGTTTCCGGCTGCCAAACGAGCAGCACAAAAGCGCAGCACTCATATGAATCTGAGCAGAATGAGTGCGACTACTCGTATTCGTACTCGCATTCATTCATATGAGTGCTGCGCTTTTGTGCTGCTCGTAATACTCGTATTCGTACTCGCACTCGTTGAGTCCAAAGACAATTAGCAGCAAACTGTCAAAAATTTTTTGGCAGAAATAATAAACAAACAGATTTTTTCTGCTTTCTGGAAACAGTACAACTTTTTGTATAGCCACAAATACAATGGAATCCCAAAATGTGAATTTGTGTTTATTTTTTGTTAGCTTTAGTTTTATTTGCTGCGCAAATTTATTAGCTGCAAATGCGGCATCAAGGCGTGGGAATGCTTGCACTCCAACTGGAAATCGAACTCGAAATAGACAAGGTCGCACTCGGGTTAGACGAACCGCTTCCATTTGTTCGAGTGTGTGTTCGCTTTCATGAGTCACTTTTAAGAGTCGTCTTATCGTCTTATCGTGAGGCTTGACACGCGATATACATATCTGATTGTTGTTGCAATCAAATGTTTAATTTACATTTCAATTTGAATTGAAGTGCGCCAACCCTGACATAGGCTAAGCAATGCACTTAGGTATCTATGTATCTGCGAGATACATTTTGTGCACCTTCAACCCGTGTGCCTGCGGTTTATTGGGCTATCAATGTTATTTTTTGTTTAACCTGTGGTTTTTCATAACTTAAGTGCGGATCACACAGCATTTAAAATGATTAGCCAAGTCCCTTGGGCTGTCCTTCATAATTACCATACAGCTCGGTTCAAGGTATGTAAATAAAAAGCAATTTAATTTTTTGTATAATGTGCACAGCTTTTAGTAGAGCAACAATTGTCTGAAATATCAAATTTCTAATTGTTCAATGTACAAAATTAATTTATGGATTTTACTTGGAGCTTTAAAGAAAACAAACTAAGGTGTAAAACTATTTATACAACATTTACACAGTTTTTGAAAGTCTCAAAGAAACTCTTCTGACCAAAAAAAGTGTTGATAACTTACTTTTAATTAAAAATTACAATTAAATTAAATAATTTCCACACAGGTGCATCTAATTTGTTGCCAACATTTTTAGCCTCTTGCCAACCCGCCCTAATGTGGCTCAGTTACTTTTTGGCATGCAATTTAGAAAAGCGCTGACGCAACTTTTATCACACCCGCAAATCTCTTTGGCGAAACATTTAAGCCAAAATAAATTGACCCCTCCCCCCCCTTCCCCCGTCCACTCCTCATGCTGCCTTCTACCACGCGACCGCCCGTCTCTAATCGGCGCTTAACATAAATCGCCAAGTGCGCACATGTAATTTTTTTAATTAAAAAAACACAAAAAAAAAGAGTCGCAATGCGGGGCAACAATTTTGTTAACTGTTCCCCCCCCCCCCCCTCCCCTCTCCCTACACTAGGCACGCGAGGGGCAGCAAAGTGGTATGAAATGGGCCTGGCCATAATTCAACGACGCCAGCGGCCACACCCACCGCGGGCATGCGAGAATGCAATCCGCCAACATCTACAGCAAAAACAAAAAAAAAAGAACCAACAACAACAACAAGCCGCAATTATGCCAATTAGAAAATGAAAACTTGCAAGTACAAAAAAAAAACGTATAAATAGAGAAATAATAAAAACAACAACAAGAGGGAAAAACTAAATAGAAGGCAACCAAGCACGCAACAGGTGCAACAACAACAACAACAACAACAACAATCAGAAACAACAATCAGAAAAACTGTTGACAAAACTTAAGCAAAGGCGTCAAGGCGTAACCACAGCACCCCCGCCCCACCCTCCGCCAACGCCACGCTCCCCGCCACCGCCTCCGCCTCCAAAACAACAGCCTGAACGCAGCGTGCGCGAAAAATGTTTGAAATTCGCGTGACTTCTCAGTCTAAAAGTGCGAATCGTAGGGCTTCCCTCTCCTACCTCTCTACCCACCCCCCACCCCCCTTCCCAGCACACCCCTGCACCCTTTTCAGCGGGCACTGACACAGTTCCATTGAGGCGCGGGCCCCGTGTGACATCGTTCTAAACATCGTTCGGTCGCCCTCACCCGCTCTCCCGCTCTTTCTCTCTCTTTCTCTGTCTCGCCCTCGCTCTCTAATGCAGCAGCCTTAGAAATGCCTGCGCCTGCGACTCACAATCCGTCACAGTCGCAGTCTCGATGCCCATTTCAGCTCCCACTTCGCTCCCACTTTGTCGTCGTCTGCATCAGCGTCTGCAATTCTCAGCACTTGGAGCACCTTTGGTCGTCAACGTTGTCCCACTTGTGCGCCGTGCTGGGCAGCTCTTGAGTGGCTTCAGCCCATCAGCCCCGTCCCCAGACAATCAAAGCCAATTGCCTGGGCTTTTGTGTGGCCGGCCACCTGGGCATCATTCGCTCCGCGAAGAGACAGCAGTTTCTGGCTGGAATGCGCCATAAATTCAAGAGTGTGACAAACAATCGCAGCTGATTTATTTATTCATCAGGCGGACGAAGATTTTTGCTAGCTTTTATGTGGCATCGGTTACAGAAATGTTAGCTTATATTCTATACTTATATTATTACTATTCTAATATATTATATTTAGCAATTAACAACCAACTCGCTGCCATAAGCTTAGGAAACTTTTCTCAAAACTTAAGCCCAGATGTTAGTTTAAATCTCTTAAATTCAATTCTATATATTCACAATTGCCCGTTGTACTGAAAATATTGCCAGCCGTAAATATTTTCATCAACAAAATGTGGTCTAAATTGGATTTCTAGCCTTCAGAGGCATCTACCAAATATGGTAAGATAAATGCAATGGTTGTGGGCCAAGTAAATGGACCTCTCTTAAAAGATTTTTAAAGAACATTATGGTGTGATTCTGATTTCAATTTGAAGCTGTTTTCGAAACTGTTTTAGTTTAAAGACAGAATCATCGGTATAAAACCGATATGCAGCATTGATAGCTATATCTTATAGTTATTATCGAATGACTATATCAATTATATGTACAAAAGGCCAAATAAATATATCAATTAGTTACAAATGCTAGTGAATTTTATTTGTTAATTTTATCTGTGTTATATACAGTAATAGCAGTAATATATCTATAACAATCTGGCCTATTCAGATATATTAACTTTGATAAAGTGTGTATCCTACATATATTTTGATCAGATTTGAACTCTTTAACACATAACATTGCAACTATTTTATAATAAGTCAACATAAGTGCCTCGAATGCTCTTTAAATAATACAATTTAACTAGATTTTTGTAGATCGTGAATTTCTTTAAAGACCAATTTGCTTAAAGTGTCACTTTGTGTGTCAAGCCATAAAACAAAGTACCTAACTTTAAAATTTTAAGTACCGCCAGTTTTTTGGGCTAAACAAAAAACACAAAATAAAACAAGTAAGAGGTTCGAGTCGGGAGCTCCCGACTAGGGGATACCCTGAACCCTCTTCGGATTTCGATATCGATTTTTATCGATTACTTGGAAACGGGGCAAGTTATCGATTATCGGAAACAAACTCGATCTGCGCATGGACTAGGAGGACCTACAGCTAAAATTTTAAGTAGGTTCTGAGATCCTTTCGATCATACAGACGGACAGACAGACTCGGCTATTGATGCTGATCAAGAATATATATACTTTTTGGGGTCGGAGATGCTTCCTTCTGCCTGTTACATACATTTGCACGAAAACATTATACCCTTTTTACCCATTTTTAATGGGTTCAGGGTATAAAAATACAAGACACAAACAAGACACATTTGTATTTAAATTGAGTTAGAGCCATTGGAAAATCGAGGATCTGCAAGCCATAAACATAAATGCCCATCAATTAATTAGCAGAATAACAATAATACATAATGCCACTCACATTATAATAGATCTGTGGACCACTTAAAGCTGACAGCTAATCAAAGTCTGTCATAAGTCCGAGACATAAATCACAGCGGACTTAAGTATATAATCTTCGAGAGGAGCAAAAGCTAAATGAGGAAGTGATTTGATTAATGCACAGCAATTCATATTCATTCATATTCCACTTGCAGGCTGCTAAGCAAGTTCGTTTCCTGAGTCTTTTCACAAATTTGTCACAATAATTAAATAATTGTTTTTTTTTTTGCTCGCTTGCGCTGTGACACAAAAATGCAAATGTTGTTCGAGCCAAGAAAATGCAGCCATGTGCAACATGAAAAGCCGAGGAAGCAGCCCAAAAAGCGCACAAATTTCCGCAATTTTCAAAGCTGAAAACCGCAACAAAAAAAAACAACTGCTGACTGCAAGTTGTGAAAACTAAATGTTGCATAATGAAATAGATGCGCGAAATGTGCAACGCCCGTGCTGCTGCACCAGCCCCCCCCCCTCCTCCCCCTCCCCCTTTAACACTGCGCTGGCAGATGCCACGGCAAAAGAAGCTGAAAACTTGCCAAACTCTGTTTTTTTTTTAATTTTGTTATTGTTGCTGCTGTTGTTGCAACTGCCACAGAGTGTGGCACAAACGCAATTGAACTTGTTTTGTTGGCGGTTTCGTATGTTATATGACAGTTGAAAAAAAAACTAACTAGAGAAAAAACACACGAACCCGCCAGAAAAGCCAAAACAATAAACAAGAAATATTTTAAGGCCTCAGCGCGTCGTGACCAAGTTTGGATTTTCAGCCACCGAAATTCACTTTCAAATGTCTCGGCGGACAAACGAGATTTACTCGTAAATCCATGAATACAACTTTTTGTGTTTGTTTTTTTTTATCTAAAATGATTTTGGTTTACTTTTTTTTTTTATCTGCAGGGCTTTTTATGGGCATCGCGTGCGTTGATAAATCTTGCAGCCGATATTTAATGACAGCTTTGCATGTTTGGGTCGCCGAAGCAGGAGATACCCTTCCAAACATATATTGTTTTAAATTTAATATTATATACTATTCTAGCGGGTATAACCCGGCCTTGTCCGTGGCACGTATGTTATAAAATGTATGTTCAATGTTTTAAAAAGCAAATCGGACAAAACTTAAAATTCTTCAAAAAAATCTTTGTAGTGCATTTTCCACCGAAGGAGTTAAGATTTTGCGAAAAATGTGAAACACGTCTCAAATGATTTTTCTTATAGATCTTTGGAAATAAATTTGCACACAAAACGTCATCCACCAAATATTCGACCCCCATTTGCACCAAGGAAGGATGGATTTTTCAAAAAGTGTGAAACACCCCTCAAATTCCACACTTGCGGGTGGAATTTCCCGAAAACAGTGCAACTTTCAGCTTCCTAGCTCTTACGGTTTGGCCTGTGCGTTGATCACCAATCAGTCAGTCAATCAATAAGTCAGTCAGTCAGGACAAACAGTTTTATATATAGAGATGGAAACATATTACTTATTAGAAAATCAAATGTTATATTTTCTTAACTTTTTTCAATTGTCATACAAATTCAAGCTACAATTTTTAAATTATACAATTTTCCGCCAGGGTATTCAAAGCCAGTGTTAAATTATTTTCGATTAGTTTGCGATCATTATGTGCGTTTAGAAAATATGAAATTAGTCGCAGATACTTAAATAGAAATGGCCTTCACGCAATTTGCTGTTGCCCAGTTTTTGGCCCAGTTGCTTGCGTTGCTTACATAAGAAAATTGTTTGGCTCTGTGTGGAGGCTAGCGGGCATATTATGCCATTATGCCCCACAAAAAAAATTGTTTTGCCCAGATTAAAATCATATTTGAAGCAGTTTTCACCTTGACCGAACCTTAATAACAATATATTATCGTTGAGCGCTATAGAAATTGTTGAGTTAACTTTTCGTTTTTAAGACTTCACTTTTTATTTAAAGTTGAAATTGATCTGTTTGATAGCCACAGATCTAACTTTTATTTAATTTTATCAATAAAGTGGTCTAGAATGTATCGAATAATAAATCTATGCTAGTATAAACGGATAAGTGAAGATATGCAGCTTGAAAATGCTGAGCTCGTTGTAAATATCTTCAACAACAGATTAATTTGCCATATAAGATCCTACTATTCCACCGATCTGTCCTATAGTAGCTATATGATATGGCGGTCCGTTGTTGATAAAATCTTGCAGATTTATGAGGATCATAATGGAACTAATCATTTCCGAGTTTGGTCAAGTTAGGTTAATATTGAGAAAGGCTTACAGATCAGAACCAACTTTTCGACCAATCGTGGCATTGATATTGAGGTATAGGGGGGTATAGTAAAACTTATAAATGCCAAGTTTGGGTAAGATATCTTGGTAATCAAAAAACTTTGCAGTACAAATACCTTATTTTCGACCGATCATGCTTATAGCAGCTATGTTATATAGTTATCCGATGTTGATTAGATTTTGCAAATATGTGAGGTGCATAGTGGAACTTACAAATGCCAAGTTTGAGTAAGATATCGTGATAAACAAAAAACTTATCAACACTAGAACTGTTTATACTGATCTAGAATAAATGTACTTAATGTGGTCGAAGATGTCTCCTTCTCTGCGTTACACACTGCATGACAAAATTATGAGAAAAATTTGAGTGATTATTTATTTACTAAATTTCGTTTTATTAATTGAATCTATAAGCAAACTCTAGTTGTTGCTTCTTTTACCTGCACCTGCACGTGAGGAAGGGCCATGGAAAGCGAATTTGAATTTCTTTATTACCTCCTAAACTACTTTAAACTGGCGCACGAAACACAGAGAGCAGCAAAAACAAGCAAAAGAGAAATATAAACTTACCCTATAAACGCCATCAACGAGTTTTGTAATTTCTTCGGCCTCCATTGTTGGGCTTCTGTGTACGCCCGGTCGGACGTGGACTCAAATTCGACTACGGCTCTATCGATGAATTGGTTGGAGTATGGGCAATGCCAAGTAGCTTCAGTCTGCAGCTACTGGGAATTGAAGATCGCGGCAAATTCACTTTCAGCTGCAGCGCCCAGAGCCAGGTCTGCCGGAATGGGACTGCACTCGATTTTCACTTTCCAAAGTGGCACAAACACGCACGCACACACACTGGCACACACACACACACAGAGACTGGCGCTCAAAGACGTTGAACCGGGCCAAAATGTAAACTTGTAACTTTGACTTTCGGCGCAGAATCTTGGAAATCTTGTTTTGAACGGCTTTGGATAATGTCGTGACTTTCTTTTCGGCGGCCACACGAATCTCCGGCCACGTAACCAACTAAATTAAATGCCAACACGATAAACGAGCCAACTGTTTGTCGGCTTTCAGCTTCTCGACGGTTTTTTTTTTCTTTTTCTTCAGCTGGACTTAGATAGCGTTTCGAGTATTTGTTTGCACGACAACTTTTCGGCTACTTCTGCCGAATGACACGAACTACAGTTTCCGATACGTGAGCTGAGCTGATTGAGTTATTATCGAAGGCACTGTAAACAGAAAGAGATGATTGGATATTAGGTATTTGGCATTGAAAACAAGAGTCGGCATTATAAAAGAAATTTAATTTAATTATACACAAATAAAAGTCGATCAATACATATGAAAACCTTAGTCCCGACTAGAGATATATATTATCCCTTAGAAGCGTTCACTTTTGCTGCGCTGCAAATCAAATAAAACGTACTTTTCAATATTGTCCTTCTCCGCGATTCTCATGATGTTATATAAGCCTTACAACCTTTCATGCTTTAATTTTTTTCGAATTTGTCTCTGCTTTCCCCTCTCTCTCTCTCTCCTCTCCTTCTCTCTCTCTCTTTGTCTCATGTTCTCCCATTTTACTCATCTGTCACCTTCCTGTTCTTATTTTAATCCACTCTTTATTTCTTTAGTTCTTTTCTTAGTGATGTGTATAAATAAATGTCTGGCTCCCTTCTATTAATGAATGTAAATATTTGAGTAAGTACACATCATATACACATATATATATATGTATATATTAATATATATAAATTAGAATACGTCTTAAAGTACTTTAGAACTGGGTACGGGTCATCTTCTTGTTTAACAGATTAGTTATACGTTTTTAAAGACCTGTATAGAGCTGTAGTATTATGCAGGAAAATATTTTCACCACCCAGATTGTAAATAATAGCAAACTTCCCACTAAACTTACAAGCAAGTTAACAGCAATAAAATACCACAATTTAGTATATAGTTTCTTGAGCGAAAATCCACAAAAATATACCTTGGAAACCTAACGCCAATTAAACGTTCTGTGGAGCAACCGAATTGTTTGATCGATATTTAAAACAGTTTTAATTGCAATTGAAATAAAAATATTACAAAATGAGTAAACTGGACGATCTTTTGGCCAAGAAGAAAACTGTGGTGCCAGTTTTAGATCTGAGCCGCAGCAATATCCAATCAATTGAGGAGTTCAAGAGGCTAATGGAAAAGGTGCCGGACTATAAAATGCGTCCAATTAAAGTGCGTGCCGAGGAAATAAAGATACGGGATAAGGATTATTCCTTCAAAATGCCCAAAAAGGAGATGCGCAAACTATTGAAACATAACGGGGAGCGGGAGACGCTTTACACCTATGCCGATCCCATGCCCAGCGAAATGAAGGATGTTGTGCTCATGGAGCTGTGCGCTGTGCCCATCGACTGGAAAATGTTAACCACGCTGCGGCCCAAGTCCAAGCTGGAAGAGGAGTACTTCAGTCGGATGGTCGAGATGGGCAAGCTGGAGCTGAAGACCGAAGCACGGGACAGACGCGAATTCGCGCTCAACAATTGCATCAGGAAAATCAAAAACAAATCGGGCATTGTGGAAACGCGCCTCATCACCTGCGAATCGTGCGGCGAGGAAATGTGCTGGGGTAAGTAGCCCAAGTAATAATATAAGAATTGTTATCATCTATCAGAATTACAGGTAAATGGTGTGGAGACTTCAACTACGATTTGTATGTGCGCGTTGAGGCGAAAGTGCTTAAGCCGAAGCCTTTGGCCAATACGGCCAACAAAACAAAGCTCAATGGACGCAAGAAATCGACCATAGTCGGCACCAAAATTAAAGTCAAGAAGTCACCAAATGCAAAACAAAACTAAAGCATTTACAGCTACAAATTTATTGTATTTTCAACTTTTTACATGTCCAAAATTGTTTGTCATAAATGCTTTTGTTGTGTTTGTTACCTAAATTTAAACTAATTAAATTGAAATTAACTCGTATTGCTCTCAACTTTTCTATTCTGGTAAATAACTGATTTTCGGTAAGTCAAGCGAATTGCTTTATTCTCACACACACGCTGCTTAACAGACTCTTAACATAAGCGGCATAACATAACACCGTTAACGTTGATAACATGCAATCAAAATTAGGTTATGTCGCATTATTCTGGTCAATTTATTTAAAACACAAAAATATTAATTAGTGAGAAGTAGGGTAGATGACAGAAAATTCGTAAATTCCCCCAAATGCTAAGCAGCAGGCCAAATGCAAAACAGTAGAAATTTTCAAAATATCTTCAGCGCCCGTAAAAAGTCAGAAAGACACACGTTTAGCCGGCACAACAAAAACAAGAGCAACAACAATAACAGCCAAAAGCAACGCTCAAAATGAAATGGCTGAAATATTTAAATTGCCACTAAACAACAGAGGCAAATAGCCATTAAGGCAATATAAACAAGCCAAGTCTGAGGCCGACGCGCGTTGGCGACAACGTTTCCAGTGCCAGCCCACATGGTCTCGCCACTTGCTTGTGCAACGATTTGTGCAAGCCTCCAACTCTCGTTCTCCCTCTCCCTCTCTCAGTCTGCGCCTATCTCTATCGCTCGAGAAGAATGCATTGGCTGTGTCTCCGACCGGCGCTTGCACAGCTTTTGATTACTAATGAGTTCAGTTCAATTGAGTTCGGTTCGGTTTGGTTTCGGTTTCTGTTTCTGTTTCGGTTAGCCGATAGCTCTGATTTATGTGCTTTATTTATGGAAATCTCTATTCGCGTTGAAATTGAAAATTTACTTTGAATATCAAATTTATAGCACAGCACAGCATGTAGCCAACATGAAGTTTGGCCCTCCGAGAGTGGAATTTCAATTTGAACAGCACCAACATGTCAGCGTGAAGGTTCTGCAATATTCCCAATCAAAATAGGGAACTATGCTGCGGCTGAGAGTTCCCGCCCAGAAGCTACCCTGTAGCTCGAGGAGTATTGAAGTTGACCCTATTTAGGGAAACTAAATTGTAGATACATTCACAAGACTAGGCGGCTGATATCAATAGTACAGGGTATCAACACGGAAGTCTTTTTTATTCAATTGAAATGTTGCCATTGTCTTATTAGACTTTCATCGCATCAACAAGTGCTGTCTCGGCACGTCAGCACTAGGCCTAAGCCACTTTCAGATCTTGTCATCCGTCTATAAACTGAAGACGTGCCGGCGATTACGTGGGCACAAGTCTCGCTGCAGGAAGGAAAATAATAATAATAACGAAAAAATAATGGTAACAGTAATGAAAACACGAAGCCAACGCATGGAAATCTTACGAAATCGATTTCGAGCTGACGTATTTCCAGATTTCAAGACGCAAGATAAACAATCTGGAGATGAGCCCAAGTGAGAGTGCCGACTCGCGAGTGGGAAAGAAAGTGTTTGCTTTTAGCAGATAGATTTCACGTGTCTTTCTTTCAGTTTGTCACTGGCTTTGAGTAGCGCCACGCCCCGCTGCGCCCCAGTTAGAATTTCCATGATGGCTAAACAAAAGACTTAGGCAACGAACTGGCGAGGCATACAACATTCCACAGGCACTCGCAAGGTTGCCGCTTGCGGTCAGCACTGACAGCGAATACCCTGAGAAGTTGTAGCTGCAGCTGCATCTGCAGCTGAGGCTGTGCTGCACGGCGCGTAGCTCGAGTTACGAGTATCTTGCAGATGCACAACGATAGAGTCTCGGGCTCGTACTTGCACTTGCCGCCTTTTCGCTCAATTTATGAGCTACCTGGCCGGCAGGCGGCGTTTAATTACGAGTCTGCTATGCAAAAACGTTGTTTAACTATTAAGAACAAGGCTAACTTGACAATCTGGCCAGCCCGATAGACAGCCGGCAGCTGTACTTAAAAAACTTGTCCACTTGACTGACCATGATAACAGCACAACGATTGGAATTCTAACAGAATACATATTTTTGTTTTTAATAACTTTGATGCTGTGCTGTGCAGCAGCAGAAAATGGAATTTGGTGATAAAACGTTTATTAAATTTATTTATGATTATTCAAAGTAGATCTATTTACCAACTGGAATTGGCAGCATATCTGTGCTTCCTTCCAATTCAAGTTTTACACTCATGTTCCCAATGAGATCTCTTGAGTTTGGAAATCGAACATAAACTCTTGATATATGACTTCCCTTTCCTGCCTGGAGAATCTTCAGTGCCGCATCAATTTGTTAGAGGTTTTGTTTGGTTTTTTGGAAAACTTTCGCCAAATCGACAAAAGTCAACAACAATTTTCCGAATATCAGCTAGACAGACAACTTTAGGCAGCTGTCCAACAACAACAACAACAAACGGTTAAGGCCAAAGAGGCAGGCAGGCAGTCAGACGCAGTTTGGTGAGGCTCAAAACCCTGGGCTGTTATTATCAAATGCTCATCATTAACATTTGCTGGCTGCTGTTGCGGACTGAGCGGAGCGGAGCGGAGTCGAGCTGCGTCGAGATCTCGACGTGACGATCAAATTGCAGCACATGCGAACACACGTGTGACGGCGACGACGACGACTCGCTGGGTAGCACAAAAAGATTGTTGTTGTGAAAATGAAATTAAGCTAAAGACTGAAAACTGAAGACGCCAAGGGGCTGAACATTGTAACAGACAATGCACAGACATGAACAGCTCGAACGGGCGGCGGGAGCGGGAGCGGGCGGAGCTGTGCGCTAAATTGCCGCCAGATACATTTGCAAATGAGTCTTAGACATAACAGCAGCAAAAAAAATAAAAAACAATAACATTGTAAGCCGATGCAAATTGAGAGGCAGAGAGTCTGCGGCGCCCATTGCCCCCTCCAGCCGAACAAATTATATTGGCAGTGAAAGTAAAAGTTTAAGTTATTTTCTTTGGGCTGTCGAACCGAACTCATAACCAAAAGGTGCAAAAAACAGCACTGAGGTCTTCAAATCAAATTAACATATTTCTAGTTTTTGCTCTCCAGCAACTATTTCAGGCGGTGTTAACAATTGCTGTAAATTGGCATCTTTGAAATAGTTATGACATCTAAAAAAAAAAAATAAAACACAAAAATGACGACAACCCAAAAACAAGCAAATAAAACACACAGCTTTAAGAAATGTCACTTAGTTAACCCCAAAATGTAATTTAGTTACTTGTTTCTTTACAGGGTATCTGCCTGTCAAACGCAGCTTTTTTTTCGACCTCCCAACACATATAACGTGCTTACAGGGTATCTGACAGTCAAACGCCGGCTTAACAGTCTAATGAAATTACCTCCCAATACATATAACGTGCTTACAGGGTATCTGGAATTCAAACGCCGGCTTATCAGCCTATAGACTCTACCTCCCAACACATATAACGTGCTTACAGGGTATCTGACAGTCGAACGCCGGCTCAACAGCTTCTTGACTCTTCCTCCCAACACATATAACGTGCTTACAGAGTATCTGGAGGTCAAACGCTGACTTAATAGTCTCTTGACTCTACCTCCCAATACATATAACGTGGTTAACAGCTTCTTGACTCTACCTCCCAACACGTGTAACGTGCTTACAGGGTATCTGGCAGCATTTTAGTCTTTCGCCCAACATAGCTAAAGCTAAAAAAAAACAAAGAAACATAAACAATTTCTGGCGGCGTTCTATTAACCCACTAGCCGTAGCTGCCGCAGTCGTCTCGTAATTGGCCACACCTAGCACCGCCTATCCATGGGTATCTTCGACCCGGACCCGATCGTGACTTCATTTGGCAACGTTGCGCACGTAGCTGCCGCATTTCTGGAATCTCTGAATGTTGTTGCTGAGAGCAGAGCCGTCATAAATTAGGTGTAGATGGCATCTCAAAGTGCCGTCCCGGCATCCTCTCGCGCTGCGCAATTTAATGGCGACACACACACCACACACACACATACACACACGAGTCTCGTTGCACACAACAGCTGGTTGGGTGGGACTGTACTATAAGACTAGGATGTGACTAAGAGGAGACACTGAACTGGCAATGACAATAAATGCATAGTTTAGCTTAGCAGGGATTTAGCCTAATAGAAGGCATCTTCAAAGGTTTGATTCAGTTCGTGATTTCAACTTAACATAAAAGTGAAGAGTCGAGTTTTTTTCAATATCTTGTCAGGGTAACATGCGTAAGGGGATGTCCTATTCTTGCCGTAGTCTCACAGTTCTCTTCGTGTTCACAGCTAGTCACAGACTGCCCTTAACACTGATGCTTAACATACTCTGTTATCTATATGGGACCCGCTGCCAGAGTGACCGTGTGTACTTCTGTTAATGCATGCTATTGATAATGTGACGTCACTATCCTACCACACATGTAATATATTATTATTATTTGAACACCTTTTGAATATGCATCGAATTTAAATATTTTATTGCAGGCTAATGTTGGTTTTTGTTGCGATAATTATACCCGTGTAGAGGATATGTGTAACGCATAGAAATAGACATCTCCGCCCCATATATGTACATATATTCTGGATCAGCATCAACAGCCGATGTTGATATAGCCATGTCCGTCTGTCTGTTTCTATGCAAATTGTTCTCTCAACTTCCTTTTGCATGCGGTTCCTACACATCTGAACCAGCCGGATCGGTACATAAAACCATATAGCTGTCTTAGGAACGATCGGTCGAGAAGTAGATTCTTGCATGACCAACTTTTGAGTTGCTCAAAATCGGAATTTATCAGATTAACTCTGCTTCTTATCTATGTGCGATATCATATCAACATAGAACCAGTAGATCTACAGAGCTTGCCATAGATACGATCGGTTAAAATATCTTCATCAACCTTGGCACTTGCTAGTTTCATTATGCTGGCTAAATATAAGCCAAATCTTATCAAGATGGCACTACTATATTCTACAACTCTATAAGAAGAATCGGTCGAGAAACAAGTTTGTACATAGATGGCAAACTATTCTGTTTTGACCAATCTCAGCATTTGTGTGCTTCACTATTCTCACATATCTGCAAGGCCGTAAGCAAATGTCAACAAGGGCGTGTCGAAGACATCCGTACTCTCTCATATTATTCAAAAATTTGTAACATTTGTTTCACTTTTAGAATAAATTGATTAATTTGATTTTTCATAACTTTTAGGGCGTATAAGCATTTTGATTTTTTTCAAAGAGACCATTCCATCCCAAATAAGCCATCAAATTTCTCCACCTTATGATCGTAGTATTTACCATTTAAATTGCTGAAAAATAAAAAGTAATTACATTTACAACAATTATTCAAATTAAGTTGCAACAATTATTACCATCTCAGACAGTGTTTGTACCACCAGCCCCCACCATAATAAAGAGCGCAATTTTGATTAGGATGAGAATCATTTTCATGATCGTATGTGCTGAATTTCTGTTTGTTGTGGTAAGTCAGCTCTTCAACTGTTGCATTGCCCACAGCTTTACCAGAGATGCTCAGTCTGTATTGATCGTCCTCGCCAGCGATGGCAAGTTGTTCATATCTGTAGTATTTGATGATACCATCAAATCCTTCCATATGTATGTAGAGCTCATGGGGCTGGGCGCTCGTCAAGCGATGAATCCTCTCAAGTCCTAAGAAGAAGTCGCCTTCAAAGTTTCCAAAGCCGGCACGATATGTGGCCCAATCCCTACGGAAGTTCTCCTTACCATTGATTCGCTGTTGGATAACAATCCAGCCAGGACCTGCTGTCGTATTATCGTAAAGTAAATTTAATGAATCTTCTTGATCCGGTTTAATCTGATGAATACTCGGAGCATTAGCAATGTCGGTGCATTCACTGTAAACGAGCTTCTCTTCGCAGCTTTTTAGTTTCTTGGCACAAATGTTGACTTCGTTTTTAATTTCGGATATTTGTTGGTCCTTTTGATCAATTAGCTTCTTTTGTTTCTCCAGCTGCTCCTCGTAGTCCTGGATTTTCAAGGCATTGGAATTGAGTTTACCCATTTCCTCTTTTATTGATAAGACGTTCCTCGTTAGCTCTTTAATAATCTGTTTGTAGAATTCATTATGTTGGTTCAGTTTTTCCTGCAGTTGCTTGATTTCTTTATCTTTGCCTTCAATTCTATTGTTATTGTTTTCAATTTCCTCCTTCATCTGATGTATATACTTTAATAATGGTCTCACTGCCTTATAGGTGTACTCTCCGCACTCCTCCTCTGCTTTTCTGGTTGCCGAACAAGACTATTAAGAGTGCGATTTATTTTCTGCAGTGCACACAAATATTACATAAGCAATTTGGGTTTTACCTCATTTTCGTTAGCCTGTGCTTCATCTATGATCAGGCTTATATATATTATATATAGAAACACAAAACGTTTCATTTTGATGGCACTCTGATTTTGGAATTGAAATGTAGAACTCAAGCGCACTCGGCAGGCATGAAAATAGACTGAAACATCAAAATCAGTCGAAAAGTGGCGTCACCGACTGTCTCGAACTGATAAGAGATAACCCAAAGGGTCAGGATATGCCAAAAGCAAAACCAAGCTGCCCGTGCCCGACTAGGCGATACCCTGCATACGGCAACGGCGAGCCAAGCAAATACACTATTTACTTGTTTACCCATTGAATAAATTATTTTTGATTTGTCTGTTTGAAACAGCTTTCAAATAATTTCGCAAAGGCAACGAGAGCACCCACTTGTTCAGTTAGCCAAATTCTGGCCTCACAATTTCCGAAAACACAATTGCAAATCAGAATAAAATATCACTTGGAGCCAACTAGAGAACAATCCCAATAAGAATTATTGTATGACTGCGTGCGTCAGTGCCAAGGAATGCGACCTTGAGCTGTCGTCGGCGGCGGCGGCTGTTGAGATGTCGTGACTGGCCAGGCCCGGGCTCGGTCCCTGGCGAATAACAAGTACAGCTGAGCGGCAAACAAGAGGCAAACGCTTAAAGGTACTCTCAGGTAAATACACTATCGATGAAGCAGAGAAAGAAATCAGCAATCAGAAATCAGCATCGCAGCAGAAAATAGCACAAGTCTCATACAATAAAACACGTTTGACGAACGCTTTGATGAAGATGAAGATTGAATATCTGTCAGATACATGTGCGCGGGCAACAACAGCACACACACACACACACACACACAGAGACAAATGTGGCAACCAACCGCAGTAACACAAGCAACGACAGCGTTCACTTTTATTTTCAGCATTGCAACCGCAAAAACAACAACAACAACAACAACAACATCAATCCAAATGGCACAACAAGCCAAATAACAAAGATCAAACGTAGTCGAGTCTCTCAGAGAGAACAAAGCAACAACTACAAATATGCAGTACTTATTTCAACTGTATTTGCTAGTACTGCATATACCCTGTAAAACGTGTGCAGCTGCTAAAGGGTATACAGGTCGCATAAGACCCAAGATGCTATCAAAATTGAACATTATTATAGGGCATCAAAATCAAAGCCAGTCTCACATCTTGCACAATAAAATACTTTGAATTTGAAACAACAAAACTATACTCTTTTTTTTAAGTAGTTAAATATATCTATATTTACAAATATTTATTTTATTTATGGTCAACTTTGAGTATTTTTTACATTTCTGAGTTAATTGATTCCTAGGGTATTTCGCAGCTATGCCCTTTCGTGCTATTGCTTTATTTAACTTTCGCAAAGTTAGTTTACTCTGGATATTAGGAAATGCTTCATAAATTTAAAGTCAAGCAACGACTCCCGCCTCGAAATCTAATGCTACCCAACAGCTCGGCATGTCTCAAGGTTGCAAACACATACCTCTTATATATATATATTCTATACTGACTATATACGGTGTATAGTATAGTATGTCTCATATATATATACACCAAGTGTGTATATACGCTTCTTATAATTAAAGCTCTACAATTTGAGAGAGCTTCATTACGCAGTTCAAATGTTTTGGCAGTTTAAAATGAATTTTTGTTAAATTATAATTTAATAAGTTAAAATGATTTGTTTTGGACTCTGCTAATGAACATTTATTTATGGTCACATATATGTTGACAAAGACAAAAAAAACGACAAATAATTCAAATATATAGATAGACTATATATTATTTAAATTTCTTATTAAACCATCCCAAGTGTGCACTAACAACTTTTTATATAAAATTAATTATTAAATATTATATTATTTCTTTAGTAGTCCATAAATATGGCATAAAGTATAATTGAATAAGTAAAAACTATTTATTTTTAACTTTAATAATATATGGGCAGCTAATAGTAAACTTTTATTAATTGTCTTGATGTTGTGAAGAATATAATTTGAATATTTAATTTAATATATCACTCGAATTTCAACCCATGCACATTCTATTCAAGGTAATCCATAATCCATTGAATAATCAAAAATTCTCTATTTTCAACTCTAATGATATATGGGCAGCTAATAATGAACTTTTATTGATGATTGTGAAATTGATATTGTGAAAACAGAAATGTAAAATATTTAGACATTTCATTCAAGGGAATTCCCTTAGTTATGCATAAGTCTTGCCCAGATTGTGAAATTCTAAGGCCCATTTAAATTCTTGCCTCTGTTTTTGTTTACTTGTTTCCAGTTAGAAACTTCGAGCGCAACAACAAAATGCCAAATGGCAAACGAGAAGTCAACGAACTCTTTTATTTATGCAGCTGGAGACCCAATTGCATAGTTTAACAACTATTGGCAAAACTGGACTAAGATTGTTATTTGTGGCGTGCCGTAGACATGATTAAAGCAAATCTGATTCTCAATTCTAAATGCTTGTGTAATTTGCGCAACGATAACCGAAATTAAGAACCAGTTTTATAACTGTGCTAGAATTTCGGTTGGCTATTTGTCATATCATTTCTAATCATATTCTCTTTAGTTTCTGTCTAAATTAAATTCGAAACGAAATTCCCACTAACAACTTTTTCTTTGATTGAATGCTTGGGAATTTCGAGCTACTAATTTATCAATTTCCGAAGACTTTTTAGACATTTTGTCAAATGAGATTTCTTGAGGAGTTGTACACTAAAGCTCAACGGTTTCAAGTTTAGCTTGGCCATAAATAACAGATGAAGGCAAAGTCTTCGAAAATATTTTTAAAGTATTTCCTGAAGAAACTGGATCTCAGTTCACAAATAAATGCCATATTAAAGTAAACCATTGCAAAGTCCAATTAAATTGAAGGCATCATTCATTTGGCTGCTCTTTGCTTAATTTAAGCAAATAAACGAGCGCTTCGAAACAAAAGACTTAGGCAACAAACTTGGCGCGTAATTACAGCTACGTGCTGCGCATTTTGTGTCAGACACATAAAGCCTAAAGCGCTAATAATAGGAAAAGAAGCAAAAACCGAGGCTCAGAGCAATCATACGCCAGGTTGGGTAAAGATCGCTCAATAAACTGAAATAAACGGAAATGAGGGCTGCATGTGGGCAGCGCAAGTAGAATTCAAAGAGCTGAAACAAAAGACTCGGACAACAAACTTGGCCTATGCCGTGAAATTTTCATAATTAGCAGGCGTATGAGAGAGAAATTCCAACGAACGTGAGCAAAAGCGAATCAAAATCTTTTTTATATTCATTTATATATATAATTTCTTTCAGAGGTAAAAGGCACAAACGCTGAAGCTGTACCCAAGTTAGCCGTGCATTTAATTAGCCATTTTCACACTTTTCACTTTCGACAAGCTGCCAAATTGTTAAAAGATATACATGCATAAAACGTATAACATAAAGCATATGGCATATATAGTTATAGAGTCTGGCGATCTCTTCGATGAAACGCAAAAAAGCCATTAACGGCCAAGCGTAGGTTTGGCTTGACAAGACTCTTGTATCTGTATCTTGTTGCTTCATCTGTGAACGTATCTGCCGCTTCCTCCGTTTAACTCTTGACTCTGCCGCAGCAGCCGCCGGCGACAGCGGCGACAGCGGCGACTCACTTTCAAGTGGCCAATTTCGACGCTTTTTTTACTCTCTCGTCATCATTTTGTTAATTGAAATTTTCCCATTGCATTGAACTTGAAAGCGCTGCCCAATTCCCAACTAGGCAAATTCACTATGGCCATAATTTACACAATTTCCACTCGAATTTCAACTTGTGGCCACGACTCGCCCACAAATGTATTTTTTTGTATATTTTGGGTTTAGCAAACTTTCTGCACATCTCGCGTTTGATTAATGCGCAATTAGATATTGAATTTTATTCGTAATTTTTTTGCCCGCATATCAAGCTCAAAATATGAATATATAAATAGCAAACAATCAAGTACCTTTTTTTTATGCGTGTGTAGCCAATGATGAGCTCAGATGTGATTGGCGCATTGTTCAGGCAAAAACTAAAAAAATGTTAAGCACAAACCTGTAAAGGGAAAAAATTGTGTTCATTTATTAATTATTAAATAAATTCAATTAGAGTTTGATTGAGATGATATTAATGCCCTTCACATATAAACAAAATGCAGTAAAACATAAAAAGTGAAAAATAGATCAATTATTGTATAGTTAAATATTCATTGAGAATAATTTTTATAGCTGAGCGTCAAAACGATTTTCATATATCAATTGCATTCAAATATTTTTTAAATATTTCTTTAAGTGTGGAATATATTTACAGAGTGTGAGAAGAGATCAACCTAAGTAATATATTAGAGATATTTTCATAAAGATTATTATGTTATTCTTTTTTAATATGTTAACACGAACTTTTCACATATAAACACAATATTTAACACTTAAGTATTTCGCTTGTGAAAGCAAAGTCTGAGCAGACATTGCCAAATAAAATGGCAAAGCCTACGAGATTCTTAAACAAAGGCATTTTTTGCACACGCATAAACCTGATTAAAGTCGGGCGACTTTTACTTTTCAAGTGAATGTTTGCCCAAAAAGATTCATTTTAGCTAGTTGGCGCTGGGATTATTTTGCATGTGCTTGCTGAAAAGGCGAGCAGTGGCTACTTATAGAGTTTCTGCCCCCTTTCGCCAGCTGCCACAATTTGTGGCACGCTCATAAATGGAGGCAACAACCCAGACTGAAGCTGCGGCTCGCTCAATGCAAATGGGCCATAATCAGCACTAACGGCCCGATTTTGCCCCGGGCTATTAGCCAGCCACTCAATAAACAAAAGGCTAATTAAATCGTATTGGTAATTAATATTACGGCGATTCGTCTGGATGCAGCCCGCACTCGACTGCCAGATACTCTGTTATTAGAATTCGCTCGAATTTGATTTCATTTACGTATTTGTTGCTGCTATTAAGAAATAGTTACAAATTATCTGTGGCATGCACAAGTTGTTGTTGGTTGCCTTTGTTGTTGTTGTTTGTTTTTCCCTAATGCGATTTGCATTGAATTTGGCACAAGATTTTCTTGTTGTTGCTTTGGCTGTCAGCTTGGGCTGGGTAATTGCATGGGTTGGGCTTAGGCTGCGGCACCTGTACGGTCGCCGCACATAAATCATGGAAAAGCAAATCTGTTCAATTTTCAGCAAAGCCTTTTAGGTGTGAACTCTCGCTTCACAATGCCTCGTTTTGGTTATTTTTTGTGTTATTTTTAGGTCAGCTCAGTTCAGTTCAGTTTGGCAACCAGCAAATCGAACTCAAGGCAATGCTCAGATACAAAATCAAATGTGGGTCGACATGCGTTCGATAAGTCAAAGTGGGCTGATTAAAAATTGCACACATTAAATAAAAACGAAATGCGCACGGCAATAAATCAGACATAAAACAGGCAGAAAATAAAAAACGGAAATCTAGCTACAAATTCAGTTCAATTCAATTCAGATTGGCAGATGCAAAGAAATAATCATACAACTGGGCGTATGCGCAATTTCTGTTTATTCGACCACATTTCGTTATTTTTCAATGAAGCGCTTCGAGTATCGAATATCAAAGAGTTGAGCCCCCGACGTGTGTCCAAAGATTTTGATTGATTTTCTATGGAAATAACAAAATTAAAGCGTCCGAAATTGTAACAAAAGCCACGGCAACAACACAAGTGCGCCACGCCCACAAAAAAATGATTGGCAAAAAATGGGGGGGGTAAGGTGAGCAATTTTTATTGCCGCAGGTAAGCATTGCCACATTCTACGGATTTCTAACCAAGTTGGGCCAAAACTTTCGATTTCAAAACTGAACGCCAGACCGAAAACTTGTTCTCGAAACAAAGGCAAGAGCTTTGAATGGAAATCGGAGCAATTGATAGATCTATATTGTAAATAAGTAGCAAAACACAAAATCGTTTGGCTGCTTAAAAAAAAATTTTTTTTTTGTTATTGCTCATGTTGAATTTAATTGTGGACAGCAGGAAAAGTCAAATTAATTAAATGAAAATTGAGAATAAATATATATTTTTAAGACACATAAATGTAAGATCACAGTATATTAAATACGAGAAATATTATTTCAAATATTTGTGTACAAAAATATACGAGTACAAGTATAAATTTTCAAATATATTTAACAGGGCTGCAAACCAAACAAGAAAAGGACTCTAGTCGGGAACTCTCGACAGTAAAAATTAAAGGTAATTGATATATATATACTATTCAAAGAACTAAATGTCAAGTTTGGTGACTTTTGCTATTATAACTTATGAGACTTGCACTAAAAATAGCATTTTGGTATCGATTTTTATCGATTGCTTGGAAACAGGGAACGTTATCGATTACCGGAAGCAAACTCTTACTGCGCGGCACTAGATGGACCTACGTTCAAAAATTTCAATCCCTAGCTCTTATAGGTTCTGAGATCCTTGCGCTCATACATGCGGACCGACAGACGGACGGGCGGACAGACGAACGGGCGGACAGACGGCTATGGCTAGATCGACTCGGCTATTGATGCTGATTTGTAATGGGTTCAGTCTCTAAAAAAAAGTGGGTTCAGTTCATCGCTTGAACCAGCTCCCTGTCTTGAGATTTGAATCGAATACAGACTAAGACTATTGGCTAAGACTTTCTTCTTGCTAAATAGTTTAGCATATATGACTTTATAGAGTGAGAGAAGACTCTGAGCAGAATACTCAGTGAATATCACAGAGTATCCGGAATAATTCATGCACGATATAGTTAGTTGAAAAAGTTTAAGAGAAAAAGGATTACTTAGGAGTAGATTAGTAGGAGTAATTAATCCTTAGCCTAGCAGGACACAGAAATTTAGTTGGCCAGTCAAACCGGAAGAGGCAATTTTAGCCATAAATGACTTATGAATAAATAATACACCAATTATATTTTAACGATGAGTTAAAGAAGGAAGATTAATCATCAGAATTCTAATGGAGAATGACGGTAATCGCACACGAGGTTCCCAGTTTAAACCAACAAGAATTGTTTCTGCACAGACTCCATTCATATGCTTTCAAGAATTTAATCAAAATTAATCATAATTGCTCGCTCTACTGAAAATATTGTGAACCTTAAATATTTTCAAAAAGAAATAGCGCGCTAAATTTGATGTCCAGCTAAAATTGGCAGCGACCAGAAAATGTGCTTAAATAAATGCAATGGAATTTTTTAATAAATTCAGTTTAGGTTTAGCTGGAATTGTTTTTTCTTCTAACGTTCGGTTCGAACCAGTTTAGTTTAAACTCAGTTTGTCTTGTCTTAACTAATTTTAAACTTTTCTATCTTTTGTCTATGAAACTTTAAATGAATGAGGTAATGTTAATAATATCCTTCTAGATGAGTCTTAAATATGGATAATTATCTTTCAAAATGATGTATGCCTAGCTTAAAGTAAATTAAACAATATATATATAGACTATTTTTTCTTCACTATGAAATATTTCTTAAAATATCTATTAAATCTATTAAATCTATAAAATCTTCAAATCAAAGCATACTTAATTTACTCTTTTATACTTATATTTAAGATCCGTTTCTATTATCGCATAAACTTTAAATGCATTAAATGCTATAGCATCTAGAGCATGATATCACTAATATGAGACCGCAACAAATTGGATCCATGTTGAGCGCAAAGAATTTGTATGTCTGGTAATACCATATCTGGAATTGGTTTATTTATGCTCTGTGCGTTGAATACGAATCAAGAGCAGGAAACGTTCGGACTTCGATTCGGACTTCGATTCGGAATTCGATTCGGATTTCGATTTCAATTGGCTGGCCATAGAATCAATCGTGAATTGTCTGGCCCGGTTCGCTCTGCCAGACAACTTTCAATGCAAATGCAGCTGCTCAGAGACTTGTTACCGTTACAAGGCACTGCTATGTATAACAGAAGTTGTGGGTGGGGGCGGCGGGGCGGCGTGACGAGCTTGTTATGGCCGGGGGGGGCTATGCTGGGTGACATATTATACGGTTGCCTGCTCGGCTGACTGATGAAAAAATGTGGTTAATGTTGTTGTTGTTGTTGCTGTTGTTGTTGTCGTTGTTGTGGTTAACTTATGCACTTGAGCATTTTCCTAATTAAGTCGATATATTTTTTCCATAATCTTTGGATTTTATTTACGGTGCAAATGTTTTGTTTATGCTGGAATTTATGCAGGTGAATGGCTACTTTCAATGGGCTTTACCTTGAAATTGATTAACAATTGTTAAAGAAGTTGTTTATGTATTTATTTTCAAAACAAATCTAATTGAAAGTAATTAAATGTCAGTGGTTTTTCAAAGCACGCCCAAATAAAACCTAACTATATCGTATTTTCCAAAACTCTCTTCAAAATTTCGAACTGCCAAAGCGTGCCATAAATTTTGTTTAATTTCTCCAAAAGTGTTTTTTTTGTCAATCTCAACTCAGGATATGGACATCTGTCCAATCAGTTTTGCATTGAACAATTAATTTGCGTTGCAAATGCCTATAGAAAAACCTGACAGTTTGATTTCTTTTTCTCCTTTTTTTTTTTTTTGAGTAACATTCATGGAAAAAGACTCGCAGATTTGCCGTGGCAAATGCAACGTGCTTCATGTGCCGGCTCAATCCATTTCCATTTCCATTGCCATCAACATTAACCAACCAGTCGACGGGTTGGCAGTTTGTTTTGGTCTGGCCAAGCCGAAACCGAAACCGAACCCAAAGCTCAAGCTGAAGCTGAATCCAAACCTGGCCAAATGCTGATGAACTTGTTTGCAGCGGCCAACACGAAAAAGTGAATGGGCCGAGCGGGCAGGGTGGGGTGGAGGGGAGGGGAGGGGAGGGCCAACGGGCAGGCAGCGTTTGTCGCCCCAACAATTTGGCTAAAGTTTAATAAACTTTATGAAATGTTGTCCTGAGTGGGAAATGCAGTCGCAGTCGCAGCCGCAGTCGCAGCCGCGGCAACGACTCCAACTCCATGGACAATGACGAGGGGCAGGTTGAGTGCGTAGCGGGCTGATAAAGGAAATTCAAGGAAAACCATAAAGCAGGAAGCAAATCATCCACATTAGAAAGTTGATGCCAAAAATTAACAAATATTACGAAGAAAAACCTGCGATTAAATTAAACTAAAAGAAGGAAATCTGTAGGGGTTATATCTAGATAATATATAGATGAAGATGCGGCAGAGCTTACGTAGAGTATAACATATATATTCTTGATCACAGAAGGTCTTGAAGCTTTCCTCTTAAAACTGGAATCGAAGCACTATATCACATAGCTGTCATACTCATAATCATTCAAATATGTTATTCTTTTGTAAAAACTTGTGTCTTTATCCAGATATCTAGATTAGGAGCTTTACTATGATATTTATATCATCTAACTCTATAGAAAGATTCGTTTGAGAAAAAGAATTTTGGTAGGGAAAGCTTTAAATAAATAAACAAGAAAATATTGGCACACGTCTATTAATACCGATAAATATATTTTATTATTTTTATTTATTTATATAAACTAATCAAATAGTTAAAACCAGATCCTGCAGCTGGACAATAATAGGAACTTAAATGTAAGTATAATTAACACATAATTACTTTTAAATTTTGTATTGTTTTGGTTTTATTGTTGTTGGTTCTTATTTAAATGAATCCAAATTTGTAATAGTTCTATTTACATTTATAGTTTGCTTGCCTAGCTTAGTTTGTTTAAATGAAATTGTATTTTTTTTATAACTTTACATACATTTTCTTCATTTGAGCTAGCAAGTAAGAGAGTCTGAGATTATTTATTTTCACACTTTAATGGAGAATATTGAATATATAGTATGGAAAGATTGTGGGAGTGTCTCTGGAGCACCTCACTGTGACAGCACGACACACACACACACACCTGAGCCAGGTAGCAGCAGGAGCTGCTGCTGGAGAAAGTGGACAAAGTGGGGCGTCGCGAGGGGAACGGATCGCCGCGAGGTTTTTCATTACGAGCACATGCACAGTACACACACACACACAGGTATATGCAAAAGTGGATTGTCAGAATCGGTTAATAACATGTTGTACAGCAGCAAGATTTTGTTATGTGCTGCACTCGAAATTGTATCTAATGGATGCGATTCATATTAATGGCACACGGAAGGCAATCCAGGTGAGTTGAGGTGAGGTGAGGTGCTGCATGTGTGTGATTACCGAGTGTGGACTCCTGGCAGCAGGAGTAGCTAGTAGCTAGTAATGAACTGATAAGCGCATAATTAACAGGGGCAACCAGTTCCCAGTTCCCCACCTGGTTGAGCTGTTGCGAAGTCTGGCAAAAAAATGCTGAAATATTTTGAAGGCGTGTTTCTTCGCTGATTTCAATAGATTTTGCGTTTTTCTTTTTCTCTTTAATGACTTTTGGCCAATTGCTATGGCCGCGACTCTTGGCCAAGTTAATGGCTTTACCTGTCTTTTGTTCTGGCAGAGAATTGGCTTTGATTTTCGTTAGCGATTGCTTGCCGGCACAGTAAGTGGTAAAAGACCGCTAGAGCTGGCACATAATGAGCCACAGCAGCTACCTGGACAAACTATCTCTCTATGCTAAATTCAAAGAACACCTGCTCAATTCCACAAATGGGTCAGATGTCACACATGCCAAGCGTGGCTAACAGCCAGTCGAAATTAATTAGCCCTAATAGTGTCTGGAAATTTAATTCTCACCTCCTTAATTGCATTTATGATTATGAAAGCTTAAGTGAAGTATTTCAAACTGAATCAAGAAAAAACTTTTAACTTCTATTAATTACCCTTCGAGAAATATGGCTTAAGGTCTTGCAGATATGCGAGGAGAGTTCAGTATATCTAAGCTTGATAAAAAGACAAGTTTTAAAAAGAAAAACTTATTTATATGCCGATTCTTACCATATAGAGCTAAATGTTGACAACATTTTTCACATATTCAAGGAGCATAGTAGAATTCGTATATGCCAAGATTGGGCTCAATATCTTAAGCAGACGGATCGCAGCTATATATATATATCATACATATAGTATATAGGTTCCGGTGTTAATGAGATTTTCCTTAGGAGCATAGAGAAACCTTTAAATGCCGAGATTGGTCAAAATATTTGGAAGATATGGCAGCTATATGATCCGGCCGATGCCAACATACATATAACCTGCCTGCAACAGAAATTCTAGTTTCAATAGAAACAAACATACACAGACATGACTATATCGCCTCGGCTGTTGATATCGAACAAGAATATACAATACTAGCGGGTATAACCCGGCCTTGCCCGTGGAACGTATGTTAAAAATCAACGTTCTCAAAAAGCTTTGAAAACGATTATGAAACTTATCGGACGGTAAACAAACAATTTTCATAAAAACGTTTTCCGCCAATTTACCACTGTTGCGAGTGGAATTTCCCAAATCGCTGGAACACGTATTCATTATATTCTTATGTAGAGCTTTGAAAATAAGTTTGAAGCAAATCGGACACAATTTAAAATTTCGCACAACAAATCTTTGTGTCGCATTCCACCCGAAAAAGTTTGGATTCTGCGAAAAGTGTGAAACACGTCTCAAATGATTTTTCTTATAGATCTCTGGAAATTAATTTGAGCGCGAAACGTCACCCACCAAATCTTTGACCTCCATTTCCACCAAGGAGGAACGGATTTTTCGAAAAGTGTGAAACACCCCTTAAATGAATTTGAACAAAGATCTTTAAAAATAAGTTTAGGGCCGATCGGATGGTAAACAAAAAACTTTCACACAACCGTTTTCCGCCAATTTACCACTGTTGCGGGTGGAATTTCCCAAATCGCTAAAATACGTATTTATTAAGTTCTTATATAGAGCTTTGAAAATAAGTTTGAAGCAAATCGGACACAACTTAAAACGCCGCCCAAAAAATCTTTAAATCGCATTCCCCCCGAAGAAGTTTGAATTCTGCGAAAAGTGAGAAACACGTCTCAAATGATTTTTCATATAGATCACTGGAAATGAATTTGAGTGCTAAACGTCACCCACCAAATCTTTGACCTCCATTTCCACCAAGGAGGAACGGATTTTTCGAAAAGTGTGAAACACCCCTCAAATGAATTTGAACAAAGATCTTTGAAAATAAGTTTGAGGCCGATCGGATGGTAAACAAAAAAGTTACATACAAACGTTTTTCGCGATTTTTCCACACTTGCGGGCTGAATTTCCCGAAACCCCGTCTTAACGTGCACCTACATCACATAAGGTAGCTACAGTGAAAATTTCAGCTTCCTAGCTCTTACGGTTTGGGCTGTGCGTTGATCACCAATCAGTCAGTCAGTCAGTCAGTCAGTCAGTCAGTCAGTCAGGACAAACAGTTTTATATATAGAGATAAATATATTTATTTATTTACATATATTTATGGGCTCTCTTTCTACGTTGCGTGCCAAAATAATAATTACACGATAAAATAAAATGAAATGGGTTTTATTATATGAAATTGGAAAAAATCACATTAACAGCGATTTTGAGATCTGATAATAAATTTGCAAATGTGGATTTATATAGCAATTATTAAGAGTATTCCACTTTTTTGTCAATTACACTTTATTTTTTAATAAATTTGATAAACAACATCGAGTAATTAATTGCGAATTTGTTTTGTGCGCATTTAACAAATTCTGCGAACAGGCCTTAAGCAAAAACAATAACACAAAACATGGCTCATTAAATAAAGGCCCCAAAATGAGAACAAGCCGCTTGCCAGTTAACAACAAAGAAAACAAAAACAATCAGTAAAAACAACAACAACTTGGAGACTTGGAGAATTTGTGCGGCGAAACACACCTTTAAAGCCCCACAGATGAGAAAGGAGAGTTCAATGCACGCAAATCGGATTAAGCAAAGAAATTAAGTAATACGCCGTGCAGATAGGCAGATAGACAGACAGACAAACAGACAGATAGATAGATAGGTAGATAGATAGATGGATAGATGGAGGGATGTGCGGGGAAAATGCTGGCAACCTGTCATTGGAGAAATGGAAACGGAAAACCAAATCAAACGCAACAAAACTGAGAGCCAAACCAAGCAATGGGCGTTAGAATGTCAGGAAGTGCAGACACACAGGAAGCAAATGTGAGAACATGATATTAAATGGAGGTGAGGTCAATTAGTTAGTCCAAAATACTAGCAAAGCTTAAACATGCAAAATAAAGAAACTAACAATAACTAAAGCTGAGCATTGATTTTAATAAATATCAAGAATTTACACTTAATTATTTAATCAATTACCGTTGCAGCACAAGCTTTAATAGCTTTTCATACGCGCTTACCTTTAAGTTCCTTAGCGTTAATCCAATTCGAATTGAGCACTTAAACACCTGTGCACACTTTACACCTGCAACACATCTATTGTGTATCTATTATTTAACAATTGTGTGTTGTTTTTGTTTTGTTTTGTAAACGTTTTTTACTATTTCGCATGATTTTCAACCGTTTTAAATATACGCGCAGGCGTTACGAGTTTAAGACTGGAACAGGGACGGGGGCAGAGCTTGCCCAACCGATTGCGACAAAAATACAACCGAACGCATCGAAGCTTAAAACTCAACTGACCGAAGCTTTCCAACGCTCGAGCGCTGCACGAGGTGCGCCGCGCTCAAAAGCTGCGCGCGAGCGCGGTTAACCAACTTCAAGAAGCTTTGAGCATCACATTTGCATGCCAAGTCGCGAAATGTGAGCGAGCTTTCGCTCCAAGTTTTAATTTGCATGCCCAATGAGACGCGAAGAGCTGCCCGTCTTTAACTCCGTTTAACTTGTTGAGCTTTGAGAGCAAAGTTTAAGAAAACGTTGAAGCAACACGAAAAGCTTTTTAACTGGAATTTCTTGTAGTAGTTTGTATTTTATTCATAAGTGTTTTGCTCTATTGCTTTGAAATGTATAAAATGTAAAATACTCTTTTTAAGCTGTCCAAAAGGAATTTAAACAATTTGTGTTTTAATTTTAATGCATTAAACAATTGCACCGGACATCCCACAATAACAAAAATGCGGAGCATTTAAATTTTGGACTTAAGAAAAGGCGTACATCAAATCAAATTTTGGGCATACAAAATGAATGGGAAAATAAGAAAAGTGCTATGTTTAAATGTTTACAATATCGTATGTATATAAACAATATCAATACCAATATCAGTTATGTTCAGACGTTAAGTAAAATGCTTTGCTTTTCCATTTTCCATTTTCATGTTCCATTACTTTTGCATAGTTAGGTGAGTAATTTTGTTAAGTTTAGATTTAAGGTGTTTTGTTTTTAGTTTTTCTTTCTTTCTTGTTGTCTTTTAGTTAGTTTTTCATTAATCAACTGGTACAATTACGAAACATTAGTTTGCTTTTACAATTAATAATTCAATGAAGTGTTTGCCCTAACCCTGACCCATATCGTCCACAACTAGGGCGCAGAGCACGTACATCATGCCGGCGCTGAGCAATGCGGTTACCGGCACGGTGACTATCCAGGCGTATGCAATGTTCCGGAACAGATGCCAATCGACGCTGCCATCCTCCATCGGGGCGGGCACAGTGTCCTGTGCGCCTGTCACCTCCGGCTGCGGTCCCAGCTCCTTTTCGTGCTCCTGACGCTGCTTCTTGCGGCCCGCGGCACTCACATGACCCACAAAGACCACCGAACCGACTTTGCAATGTGTCGTCGAAATGGGCAAACCAATCTTGCTGGCCAGCAGTACGGTGATCGCGGCGCCAACTTCAATGGTGAAGCCACTGTAAACAGAGAATAGAAAATTAACTTATAGCTACAACATTTTCAAATATATTTGAGTACTCACGTGGATGAGGTGATCTTTGTTAAATCGTTGCCAATGGTTTCGATGACCCGCCGTCCCCACAGCCAGAGACCCACGGAGATGCCAATGCCACCGTAGATCAAAATATAAATGGGACTTTCAGCCTTCTGCATAACCGAGCCCTCGCGATAGATCATATAAAGGGCGATAAGTGGTCCAATGGCGTTGCTAACATCATTGCCGCCGTGCGCAAAGCTGCCAAAGGTGGCCGTCAGTATCTGCAGAAATGAGAAGAGCATGGACACCTCCTGCGTTTCCTCGTTGCTGCTGGCACGTCGTCCGGCTGCACGCTTAAACTCCTCCTCCTGCTCGTTGAGCGCCTCCTTGCTCTCGATAAGCGGCACCTTGCTGGAATTCGGCGACAAGGTGGTGCTGATCATTAGGTCCAGACTGCCAGCACTTTTCACCACTTGCAGATTGTTATTGGTGACGGTGGCATTTGGACTGCCGGTGGCATTTGGATTCGCACTGCCAGCTGCTGCACTCGTAACCAGTTGCTGCGACTTGTGCTCCTCCTTGGGTGACTGGACACGCTTGAAGCACTCCTGAAGTTTGCGTCCGTTTTGCTGGTGCTGTAAATTCTGCTGCTCGTCGATGTAGTTCAAGCTGGTGACAGTCAGATCGGGATTATCGAGGCTGGCCTTGCCCAGCAGATCCTCAGCCTTGCGTATGATTTCGGGATCGATTTTGTAGTCCTCGGCAGTCGCATTGTTGTTTTTGGCCGCGAGGCCGTAAGGCGCTAGCTTAAAGGTCTTCGGCGAATTGTCGCTAAGCGAGACCAGCTCGGTGATTTCGGCAATAGCCGGCAGTGGTTTACCCTCACTAACAAGCGAAAGCGGACGGCGCTGCTTCTTGGGGCTGCCGGACGGCGAGGATTCTGTATGAAATCAAACGCTGAGTATTTGCTTTTGCCTTGGGCTGGAACAACACACTTACCCACAGAGTCCTCGAAATTGAACTTGACCGGATTCTGTGCACGTAGCTTCTTGGCAATGGAGCGCCGCTGCAGCGGCACCACCACCAGCTGCGTCAGCAGCGCCACCAGCAGGGACAAGCCCACGCTGACGGTCAACGCTATCCAAGTGGGTATGTTATCCATATAAAGCACTGCAGAGGATGCACACAAATGGATTAAATAGTAAATAAGGCAATCAGCGTGGGCAGCTTCGACTTACACTTGGGACCATCCAGGATCACGCTGATGACATTGATGAAGAACGTGACGCCGTAGAAGATGGGCAGCGAACGGAAGCCCGCCTTCAATGGCTCCTGGGCGCGCAATATGAATCGGCGTATGGTCAGAAACAGTAGAATGCTCACCAAGCCGCTCATCACCGGCGAAATGAACCACGATACGACAATGGTGCACAGCGTTGTCCACTTCAGACCCTGGACGCCGCGTGCCACCAGCGAGAAGCCAATTGTGGACCCGACAATGCTGTGCGTGCCAGAAATGGGCAATTTTAGAAACGTCGCCACCAGCAGCCATATGGCGCTGCTAGCCAACGCCGACATGCAGCCCAACATAAGCACCTCCTCGGCGCCTTCGTACAGAGTCACCTCAAGTATGCCCTTCCGCATCGTATCCGACACCTTGTAGCCTGCAGGAATGCATAAGAAAGGTGAGACTTAATTCCAATAATACAAGCTTAAATTAATCAGGCAGAAGAGTTGCTTTCGGCATTAGCTTCTAAGACTTGACTAGATTATTTTAGGACTTACCAATTAAAACTGCGCCCGAAATTTCACAGACCGTGGCCAAAACGCAGGCCTGACGTATGGTTAGAACGCCAGAGCCGACGCTGGTGCCAAAGGAGTTGGCCACATCGTTTGCTCCGATGCCGAAGGCCAGAACAAATGCAATCAGAAAGCCGATAATGACCATCCATAGCAAATCCGGCGAATAACTCTCCATAGTTGGTTAATTAAATTGTTGTACTTCTTAGAGACGCGACCAAAAACTCACTTTCAACTAACAAAAACAACAAAACAGCTCTTGCCTCTTGTCTGTCTGTCTGTCTGTCTGTTCGTCGAACCTTAACTTGAACCGATTTGTTGTGCAGAGGAAATGAAAAATGTTGGGGAATTTGAGTGCAAAAGAAACTATAAAATACAATTCGACAATAATAAATGATATACGAAAAATAATCTTAATTATTAATAATTGAAAAATTCTTTTCAAATATTTTCTAAACAGCCATATTTGCGCTTAGACTTCATTGTTGTTATTTTCATAATGAAAATTAAAGTACAGCCGCGTTTATGGACACAAAAAAAATAACAAACCAACCGAAAACTGTTCGTGTTAATGGAACGAACCCCTAGGGTTAATTTGAGCCTCCCTCTCGAGCTGAAGCAATGCTCAGCTCGGCTTGCCTAAAAGTATGCAATAAATTACGTAAGCCTAAACACAAAACACTAAATACTGATTAAAATATTATTTATAATAATAATAAGTTATTAAAATGCTACTCTCTCGCTCTAGCTCTCTCCCCCGCTCCCTCTTACTATCACTTTCTCTCTCTCTCTCAACTAGCTAACTGTTTACAGCTTGCAGCTTCTGATTGGGAAAAACTTCTGATTGGGAAAGTTGTGAACTCCGCTTGTTGCACTCAAATGAAAAGCTTGAATTGGGGTTTTTCCTCTGGCAGCTGCAGTTGTTCCTCTTCTTCTTGTAGCTGTAGTTGTGTTGTTTTTTTAGTTGCTGTTCGAGTGGAGTTGGTGTTGTTGTTGCAGAGAAGTTTCTTGTTATGTTGAGTAGGAGCTGATGGTAGTCGACTTGGTAAACTGCAAATGGATTGGGTTAGAGTTCATGTTGAAATTAAATCTCGCGACTTTCTCACATACCTGACGTTTAGGACAGCAATATTGTTTCCACGTCAGAGAGATTTTCACCATGTCTGCAAAAGAAATTGAAGATCAATAAATACACTTAAAAATATCCAAATTAAATTAAATTATCTGCACCAAATGTGATCGGACTACCCCTAATGCAGCCATAGGCTCGAGTTGTGGAAAATCAAATGAAATGACAAAACAATGTTGAAAATAGATTCGCAATTCATTGAATCTGGCCGCAACCAGTTCCGGCTTTGTTCTTAGTGTGCTTTTCAATTGGGGAGTAAATTGAAAAAAATTGCATATTGTTTAAATTGGCGCAATTTCGTTGTATATTTAGGCCGCGCCCCACTGAACACGTGCCACAAATACTACTTTGACCGGAATGGGCGGTCAACATATACATACATATATCTGTATAAAGTTAATGTCAGGGCAATTCTAAAGAAATCGGCTATTCATGCTCGTAACTGCCTTTGTTCACTCTTATTGTTAAAATAATAATAAATGTTGTCAGCGTTCAGGCAAGCCGCACTGCATTATTTCTAATGGGCATTAATGGATCAGATTAGATCATTTGTGCGAAAAGATTATAATTGAACACGGAAAAATCAAGGAATTGGAATTCATCAAGTATTTCTAGAGATATTCTCACGCACTGCAAGTACACAAAATAGTAAGAAAATATAATTTTTTGACATATTATTACCCGGCCTTGCCCGTGGCAAATTTTGATCTAATAATTTTAGATATTTCTCACTCACCCAATGCCCGCCTGTGGAAAATTTTCACGTAGTCATTATACCCTTGTTTAGGATATAATTAGATCGTAAAGTGTGTAACGCCTAGACGGGGACATCTCCGACCCCATAAAGTATAAAGTATTCTAGATCAGCACCAAAAACTGAGTTGATATAGTCCGTCTCGAAACTTTGCATATGTACGTCTTTTTGTTGCCGTAGGAACGAACGGTCCAAAAGTAGTTTCTGTATGAACAACTTTTTTGTTTATCAAGATTTCTTAACCAAAGTGGGCATCTATAAGTTTCAGTATGCTTCCTACATATTTGCAAAATCTTATAAAAATCGGACCAATATATCATAAAGCTGTCAGAGGAACAAACGGACCAAATGTTGATTCTTGTATAAAAAACTTTTTTGTTTATTCAGAAATCTTACCCAAAATCGGTAAAAGAACACATTCATTAGGTTCTTTTGTAGGCCTTTGAAAATAAAGTTTGAAAAATTTAAAACTTCGCTCAAAATATCTATGATCCGCATTTTCCACAGAGGTAATTTGGATTCTGCATAAAGTGTGAAGCAAATTTCGCCAAATCTTTGAACCTCGTTTCCGCAACAAAGGAATGGATTTACCAGAAAGTGTGAAAACCCGCTTTCTAAAAATCATTTTAAAGCTGTTTGGATGGTATACAAAAAAGTTGCATAAGCGTTTTTTGAGCCTAAAATTTGAGTATAATCTTGGACGGGAAAAGTTACATACAAAACTAATTGTTAGTTTATAGAAAAATGAGATTTTAACAGCCTAACTAATGCGATTTCTTCGGGAATTGGTAATTCCTATACGGTGTATTATCTACGCAAAATAAAGAGTATAAAAGTCGCGTGTTTGACACAAAAAGCTTTAAATTAAATATCGAAAATGGAAGCACCTATCTCTATTATTTTCATTTTATTGTCAATTCTTTGCTGTTCACGTGGAGAATACAGATCGACGACCAAATGGCCACGTAAGTAACTCAGTTGAGAGAGGGATATTGTAGAAATAAATAAAGTTGATTGAATTTTGGAATTTGCTTAGGTTATCCCAATAAATGGTGCCGCCTAAACTATGGGCCATATCTCGGTGGCAGATGCTGAACCAAATTCAAAATGTTATTTAATAAGAAATGTATTTTAAAAATGTTTACTGTTTAATGTTCACACCAATCAAATAATCGACTATCTGTGCCAGATGTTTGTGCTTATATAAATTGAATACCTCCCAAAGGAGTGACTAAATGTACTTAAACAATGGCGCTCGTCACACAAAGGCACTCTCTCTGCCCCCAGAGGGGGGCATGAGCCCGGGCTACTAGCCAGGACAATGCCTGTGCCCAAGGTCGTGACTACGTTTAAGTTACGTTGACATATGCTCGCAAAATTTCCATAAGTGAAGACCCTGGTTACACCCAAACCCACCGCCCACCCCCCGCCCCCTTCCGGGCAGCAATAACAGCGAGAACTTTTCCATTACAGTGATATAACCGAGGTTCAAAACACGTAAGAGTGCGACCACCTGAATGGGAGTGCCCGACTAGCAGATACCCTGTGCCCAATATCGAGATGACGTTTACACAATCAAACTTCCTTCTATAGAAAAAACATATGCATGCTGGCTGTTACACAAAGGGTGCGGCCACCTAGGCGGGAGAGCCACACTAGGAGATACCCTGTACCCAACATCGAAATGCCGTCAACACATTGAAACTTTCCTTTATAGAAAAAAAGCATATTTTATACACGTAGTTCAAGGCATGTAAGAGTGCTCCGACCTGGATTGAAGTGCCAGACTAGGAGATACCCTGTATCCAACATCGAGATGCCATTAACACATTCAAACTTCCTTCTATAGAAAAAAAACATATGCAAACTGCCTGTTATACTCGTGAGAGTGCCCCCATCTAGATGGGAATGCCAGACTAGGAAATACCCTGTGCCCAACACCGAGATGCCCTTAACCCAGTCAAACTTTCATTTACATACTGCCTATTAAACACATTTAGCCAAGACTATTTTACACATTTTACTCAGTTTCAAAGGGTATCAAAATAATTGGCAATTTATAGCGTATTTTGGAATCATTTGTCTAAAAATAAATATAGCGCACGCAACATTTGCCGGCTTGGTATGAATTCAATGTGCGCTAGAATATTTGCCTGACGTCACAAAAATAAACAAACAAAACAGATATGCAAACATGACTTTGATATATCCTGTAAGGAATTGAGTTAAAACTAATTTGAATAATAAATGCAGAATTATAAAGCAAATTATGTGCGATTAATTTATTAATTTCAAAAACTCGTATGCTTTATCTGAATCCAAGACGATTACAGCTTTTTATCGAACACAGAGTATGGAATGGAAATAAAATAACACCGAACATTATGACGATCCAATAAAACAGAAATAAAAACAGTTTCATACACACTCATTAGTCAGTATGGGGTATGCACAGTGTGTCAATGCCTATTTGCATTGAAAAAATACAATTCAAGGAACTGAATTCTAGATTATTTATCCCGCACTCCAAATAGGAAAAAAATAATGTAATCACCTTTAGTGATAAAGTTGTCAGTCGCAACAAATTGAAGGAAAAATTCTCTACTAAAATACTTAAGCTTTGTTTGTCAAATTATTAACTTTCAACTTAAAAGATTTATTGATTTATAAAAATTTTAGCCTTCCATATCCGACATATACTTTCACAGTTAATTTTTATAATTTACTAATATAGAAAATGTAATAATGATTATATTTATATAAAACCATGAGTTACTTTTGATTACATTTAAGGTTAAATATTTTTAATAGACCATTTTAATGTTCCGTTACAAAAGTAAAAATTGTAAATGCTCAATCTATTTTCTTCACCAATCCTAATATTCTCTAAGTTCTTCTTCACGAAAATAAGTTGCTCAAAAGAAAAAGAGCAACTACAAATTATTCTACAAGTAATTCGTCTTAGCTCGTACCACTGTGCGTGTATAAATTACAGCTATGGCACGTTTGATACGTTTCCCGTTCGCATCTATGCAAATAAAATTAACACTGAATTGTGGGCTTTCTGCACAACAGACGTCACACAGTTATTTTAGCGTGTCTGGGAAAATCAGCTTGGGCGGCTTGGGGGGGATGGGCCTGTAGAGGGGGGCGTGGCGGCAGTTACTGTCGCTGGCAGCCTTGACATTGCCAACTAAAAAGTGCACCAAATTCAAATATATTGATTTAATTTGCCGCATTTCACCAAGGAGGAATCTCCGCATGTCCAGAAACCGGCTGCAAAGAGTCCCAGGCAAAACTGACCACCTTCAAAGCATTAACCCTTGCGTTCTTTGTGGTGGTTAATTCATTTTATTTTTATTTATTTTGTGTTCTTTTGGTGGTTGCAACTGCAAGTTCAAGGTCGTGTGGGTTGGCTGGCGAAACCTGTTTATTTTGCTTATTTTTGTAATCAAAACAAAATTAAACTGGCAACGAGCAGTCGCTCTCAAACTGTGCCCACTGAAGCGCAGCAATTGCCATGCAAATCAATAATATGGAATTGGAAATGCTTTCATCTATGCCTGGCTGAGCGAACTGTCTAAGTAATTAACAAGCACGTGCAACATAAAGTGCAACAACAACAACAACACCAACAACAATAGCTGTAAATGGGCCGAAGGTCTCGAATCAATTAAGTGGAAATTCACCAGCGAGCATCGAGTAGAAGCTCAAAGGGAATACGAACTTAAACAAGCCATATTTATTGGCAATTACATCAGTTTCTAAACTGAATGTGCTCGTCCATCAATATGCTCCCGCTGTGCAGCAAATTAAAAGTATTTTTAAATATTGCCCTACTATGTGATTCTCATAAGTTCATGCTAACCTTACAGGTCTTTACGCGTTGAAAGTATTTAAAGTGTTGCATTAACAAGATTTATCTCTACTCATTCGCTATTCACTCTTTCTCTCTATTTCTCTCTCTCTCTCTCTCTCTCTCTCTCTCTCTCTCTCTCTCTCTCTCTCTCTCTCTCTCTCTCTCTCTCTCTCTCTCTCTCTCTCTCTCTCTCTGTTCCAGTTTATTCCTCTTTCTTTCCTCAGCTCTTATACTAACATTTGCCTTACACTCTTATGATTGCAAAATATGTTATCTTATATTTGTTCCGTTTTCTGCACGGCATACACACGAGTTTATCGGCTGATATGAAAACGCGTGCGAAACCAAAGAACAAAACAACAACAACAAAAGTTTTGGCAGCGTGCAAAAACAACAGCACAAAAAAAAAGAAGGCAGCGACGCGGGCAGCATGCTAAACTTCTTATTGAAACTTTATACATACACACACACACACACATACACGAACATACTTGCGAGAGTACCTAATCTTCATGCATAGAGGCAACAGCATGGTAACAGCGAAAGCGTAGGCGGAGCAGAGCATAAGAGAGGAACGAAAGCCAATACGAAATGAATTAACAGTCTATAGATGAAAGCCAGCGATATTCAGATAGATCTAACCAATATCCGTTAGGTGCAAAGTATTCAGAAGGAGAGAGAGAGAGAGAACGAGGTGAGCATAACAAATGTTAACTGTACTTTGTCACTTTGTCAACAGTTTGAACTGCATCGGCAAAATTGAATTATGGGCTGTCCTTCTGCCAGCAATTGTCTGCGACCTTGTTGGGGTGGTTGCTGCTGCTGCGGCGGCTGGTGCTGCCAATTGTTTTGTTTACTCATGATATCATACGTGCAGAAATTATTATTTGTTTGCAATTGAAACTCATGCATGCAATCATACAAGCATGTATGTATATGTACATATGTATTCGTGTTTGACGCAAGACCAAGGAAATTAATTTGAAATATTTCTTCTGTACACACACATGTGCGCATATATGTGTTCAGTGTGCTCTGCTTGAAAAAGCCATCAATAGACCAATACAGTTTTACAGCCACTGTTTAGGCAGCATGCCGAACACAGTTTGATGTCCGCCGCATGTTTTTTTCATGTTTATATTGTTGTTTTTAGTTTTCTATATATTTAAAATTGTTTTAGTTGTGCTCAATCGTTAAGTGTGTGCAGTTTGGAGCTGACTTCATGTTATGTGTGTACCAATTCGAAATGTCCAATAAGAAAATCTGTAAAATTCTTAGAGCTAAGCAAGACAGAGCGGCGCGCGTGATTCATGCCAACGAGTTCTAGGGTTTGGGTCGAGGGATAAGGGCTTAACACAGGGATGACCAAATCTTTTGCAGGCCAACGAAATTCATCTGATTGGAATATGTTAAGTTGACAGGGACAGCGAGACAGGGCTGTGTTGTTGTTGTTACAGCAGCTGCGACGCAACAATAAAACAACAACACACTTGAAAACAGCTGCACATGGCAACAGCGCATGTAGAACTGTAAGATTTGTGTATATGCTGCTCTGCTGCCCGCAAGGACAAAAACTGTACCAGAGATAACAATAAAAATGTGCAAATTTCATTAGATTTGCGATGCAAGAGGAAGAGCAACATCTATGGCTAACATTTTCTTGGTCTCGTGCCTTTCAATTTCTGTATCATTTATTGATTTTTCCGGGACAAACAAATGCAATTAAAATGTTAAAAACGTGTTGACGCCTTAAATTTTTTTTTTTTTTGCTAATAAGTATAAGTATTTATGTATAAGCACAAACCCACACACATGCACGCAGTCTCCCACACACGACAGAAACACATACACAGGCAGTAGGCACACGCGGGCTTATGAAAAAAGACACGCGGCGCCAGAAGGACTAAGCAAGGATACACAGGCGACTATATACATACACCCACTTATGTACACACACTTATTAAACTTATCCGCTACTCCGTTAGTTATTAACAACAAAAATGTTTACTTGCTAGTTGCAGTGCCTGCAATCAAGTTGTTAATTATTTGCTTCTTTTCGGGTACTCACTTGAATAGCAACACTTTTTCAAATCACAATTTATTTGACGAGAAATTGAAGCGTGATGAACGCGCGCGCACAACTGCGACCACCGGCTTGCTGAAAATGACGATAGTTCTTTATCATCGATATGCTTATATCGAGAACATGTTAACAGCATAAATCTTTCACTTAACAGAAAACTCCACCAGCCTATATATCGATTGTTAAAAGTTGTAGATTAAATTGTAAATAGCTTAAGAATCTTTACAGGAATATTTGGGACGGCGTTTTATCAATAGCTGTTATTCAATTCAAATGTCAGCGATTTTTTCCAAATCAACCCTTGCGTCCGCTGTTAACAACAGTCAGCAACTATTGACGCTATTTTCACTGTTATGTTAAATAACATTCTGTCTCACTTTGTTTTTATCACAACAAAAACAAATCGTGACATTACAAAACTTTGGAAACACCAAACAAATTGATTATTCGGTTGTGTTTGAGCACAGCAAACTAAGTCGCAATGTTCCACTTTAGTGGCTTTAACATGATGTTCCCAGACGGAGGACGCAGCTTCCAAGCCACCTATAAATGCTTCTCAGTGTCTATGCTGCCAGGCAACGAGCGCTCCGATGTGGAAAAAGGAGGAAAAAGTTCGTAGAAATAGGGGACCTATTAAAGTCAATTGCTATTCAATTCTATTGTTTACAGTCATTATGCCGCCGTCGGCGCTGGATACACTCACACGTCTGAACGTCGAATATCCGATGCTCTTCAAGCTGACCAACAAGAAAAAGTCGCGCTCCTCGCACGCTGGCGTTTTGGAATTTGTGGCCGACGAGGGAAAGTGCTATTTGCCGTATTGGATGATGGATAATCTGCTACTGGAGGAGGGCGACATACTGAGCATTGAGAGCGTCTCGCTGCAAGTGGCCACCTTTTCCAAGTTTCAGCCGCACAGCACCGATTTCTTAGATATCACAAATCCCAAGGCTGTGCTGGAAAATGCACTGCGCAATTTTGCATGCCTCACCAAGGGTGACGTCATTGCCATCAAGTACAACAAAAAGGTCTACGAGCTGTGCGTACTGGAGACCAAGCCGGGCAACGCTGTCAGCATCATTGAGTGCGACATGAACGTGGAATTCGAGGCTCCGGTGGGTTACAAGGACCACAGTGAGCAACAGCCATCGGCCCAGCCAGGCGGACAGGCAGCCGGCGGCAGCGAGGCAGCCGCAGGCGGTGCCGTTCACGAGGAGGTCGTCGAGACCTTCAAGGGCTCCGGCGTGCGTCTGGATGGCAAAAAGAAAAAGGACAGCCAACTGGAGACGCCAGTTCTTAAGAAGGTGCTGCCCCGTGGCGTGCCCGACTACGATTTTCAGTTTGGCCTGCTGCGTTTCGATCGCAGCATTAAACCCATCAGCGATCGGGCCCAAGAGGACGCCGAGGGGGCAACCGGCGAGGCCGGTATTGATGCGGACAGCTTCCATGGCACTGGCTTCTCCATGAAGAAATCGCGCAAATAGAATGTAACTCCCTAGTTGTTTAATGTTGCACATGGCTCATAGAAATAGAAAAAAATATGAAATGAAATTTTCACAACATCAAATTACAACTTGAGCGTCATCCTGATCTCCTCTTCCTTAGGCAGCGGCGGTGATGATATTGTCGTCAAGGGCGGCAAGCGGCGTATCTTGCGTCCGTGTTTGCCCTCTTTGCGTTTCCACAGCCCCGAACGGGGTCGATTGCCCAGCTCGCGCATGCGCTGCGCACTGCCCACATGCTCCTTGTTGTGCTCAACATTGGAGAGACGTCCCACGGTGGCCATGCAAATGCGATCGAAGGCAAACTCGCGCTTGGAGGGCAACTGGACCACAACTTTGTCATCGAACTTGCGCAATATGGTGCCAAAGGTGCCGGCGGCGTGTATCAGATGGCAGGGCTGTCCAGGATTCTTCTCCAGGCAATGGATGCGCGTTCCCACGGGCAGGGCGCCCAGTGGATAGGCATCACCCTCGTTGGGTCGCACTAAAGGGGCTCAAACGTTTAGTACTTGATCGGAGAACAGTTTGTGCTATCGACTCACCCGGTATGCGTGGAATTACGCGTGATGTTTTCAGTATATCACCCTCGCGCATATTCTCCGTGGCCAGTATATACTTGAGCTCATCGCCCACGGCGACCAGCGCCACTTTGGCTGTGCGACAACCGTCTCGCAACAGCTCTACGACTCGCTCCTCCTGCGGCGCACCCTCGCTGGGGCCATCGCGCACCCATTTGATCCAACGATATTGCTGTTTGATGCCACCGCCAATGCCCTTGGCCACCATGCGACCTGTGACGGGATCACGACCGGCGAGATGTGTGATTTTTAACGGTGCAACCGTATATTGCTCGGGGAAGTGAACTATGCGTCGGAATTGTTGACCCGCGCCCGGCTTGGGTTTCTCGACGACCTTCGTTTTGGTGCGCAGCTGCTGCAGCATTGCCACTGCGCCGCGTTGCTGCGGATGCAGTGTTAATGTGCAGTTACTCAGCAGGCGTACAAGGCTTTGCATTTTCACTGATAAATCGGTTTAAAAAATGTTTAACAAAATACTTCTGCAGTTCGGTTACAAAACATATGCGTAACAGAATTTGTGCGCTCTGTTAGGAACAGCTGTGAACAACATGTGAATAGAGTGTGACCAGTTTGGATTTATCAGTTGGTAAAATTTGGGGCAAAAATGTACGGCACCAGGGCTGCAGAGAATGTATGCTTCTTCTTTATCGTCACGTCGTGTGGGCAGCTGCTGCGGAGCGCGCTGCAAGCAAATAAGAATTGAAAACGGCATTAAACTTGTGAAAAGTGCACAAATTAAGTTAAAAGTAAGCTTAAATATAAGGTGAAAAGCAATTTGTTAAAAAATTTATAAAAAATACACAGCAAACACGGCAGTTAAAAAGGTACGAAAAAAAATAATAATAAACAAGGCGAACGAGCCGATAGAAAGAAAAATAATATACACACACAAACATGCTGTTGATACACACTCACGCACACAATCATACACACGCTCAGTGGCGAACGAACTGCACGAAAAAACGTGTTGTGTGCTAAATTTTCTGTGCAAAAAATAGAAAACGCAAAAACAAAAAGTAGCTAAAGCAAAATAATAATAAAAAGCGAAAAACAAAAACAGTTGAGTTTGATAATCAATCGTAAGCCGAATGTAACAAAAATAAACAATAGTACGTATTAATTAATATGAGAAGACGAATATTAGTAAAGCCAACGAAATATAAATAAAATCTATTTGTTATTTTGGAACATATTCAAGTGATGTACATACATCTCATATGTATGTGTGCGTGTGTTGTGTGTTTAGATGCATGTGGTTGTGTGTACCCTTAACTGTGTGTACATATTTTGGTGTTAGGTGGAAAAAAAGCGGGCGGCAAGTTTACGCAATCGCCAACGAACGAGCGAAGCAACATATATATATATGTATGTACGTACATGTATACAAATGTATGATGTACATACAGCGTACGTTGTGAAAAGTGTGCTTTTTGTATGTTTACGGTTTTAGTCTGTCCTTTTGTCCGCAGTCGCCGAAATAAGTGAGAGACAAACAAGGCGTGCATACATATTTACGTTTTTCACATGCATACATACATAGATATGTACCTATGTATGCATGTATGTATAGGCAAGCAGGTGGAGTCGCGCCGACGTCGTTTGTTTTTGATATTTTTTTGTTTTTCGGCTCCGTTGCTAGCTGAAAAATCAACGAGCGGCATTTTTACGCATTTTCAATATGCCTATATATATAAGTGTGTGAGTGCTTGTTTATGTATGTCGGTATATGCGCGCGCTCTTTATTATATATGTGTGTGTATATTTTGGTGTTTTTATTTATTTATTGTGTTTCTGTTTTGCTGATGCGAGCGAGACAGCAGCGTAGCAGTGACCTAACAACGTACGTACGTACATGTTGTGTATGGGTGTGTGCAATTGTGTATGTGTTTGCTTTGTTGTATTTATTTTTATAGCATTTTATTTACGTTGTTTTCGTTAATTTTATTTTGGTTTCATTTTGCATGTTAGCGCATGCAAGCTCGATCGATTGAATGGGAGCCATGTGGGGGCTAAACTGTCTCATTTGATATACATATATGTGATAATACATTAATATGTATTGTATATTTATTTCCTAAGTGTATACATATCTATGTATGTACATACATCCATTCATATGTATTTATATGTGTAAGTAAATACATCAGATTTTGTCTATGGGAGTAAAAAACAAATAAAGAAGCAAAGGGAGCACGCTGTTGGCCAGTGTTGCCAACTGAGCTCAATACGCTTATTGGCAAAATTTAACTGTCAAATAGAGTTGTCGATTCATCACTTGGAAACGGGTGTTACGACTTTGATATGCCACCTTTTTAAACAGTACGTTTTAATAAGGCACACATTAAATAAGTAACTGCGATGGGAATTAGATAAAATTGTTGTTTATTTTTTTTTTTTAATTTCTGCAGTTTCTACATTTTTTTTTTAACAATAATAGTGGGCTATTCCGATGTATATACAAAGTAAAATATGTGTACTTGTAAAAACCATGCATGTTTATTTTGGATATCCATACAAGTGTGCAACTGTGCGTGTAATATGTGTGCATAAACATGAGCACGTTTTCATTATTTTTGCACACTTGGCAACACTGGCGCCGAAAAAACCGCAAACAGTGAGACTTGACAAATTGTCAGGCGTAAACACAGTGATGCTGCATTGAACGAATTGCGCGCGCGTTGCACAATAGAAAAATATCAATTTTATCTTAAAGCCCAGTTGCTGCGAGAGCTTTATTTATTTGTAGCTCTGCGACCGGCAGCTGCTCCAATTGAGAGCTCTTTGGGGATTCGGTTCTCTCTCGCTCTCTCCGGCTGCTGCCCGGGCAAACTGATGCCGCATAAAGAGTGAGCGCACGCGCGCATAACACATCTCCCAACGCATTGTGTTTTACCATGAGCAATATCTACCCATGTATTTGTGTGCGTGTTTCGTTACTCACGTAGTGCCGCAACGTAGTAGTAGTAGTGTTATTATTGTTGTGCGAGTTGTTATTGTTTTTGCTTGTTGCCGAGTGCGAGTCGAGTTAAT